CGATATAGGCGAATTAATTTTGGGATGGCATTTTCATAATTTTGGGCGATTTTTTTCGGAAGGCAATTTTCCTTGGATATTGAATGCTACAGATCACGAATTCGGTTTGAGACAATTCATCAACAATAATTAAGTCCATTAAGCAGCGATTTGGACGGATATCTTCCGGGTCCATTGTTGGCAGATCTCAAAGGGGTACCATCACCGATTTTGAGCGATTTTCCCGAAATGTCGTTTTCTTTCGATTTTGGAGGCTGCATATCACATATTCGCCCTCAGGGTATTCTTCAACGATGATTAAGTTTGTTAAGCAGCGATTTGGGCGGATATCTTCCTGGTCCATTTATGGCAAATCCCAAAGGGGTACTATCACCGATTTCGGGCGATTTTCCCGAAATGCCATTTTCTTTCGATTTTGGAGGCTATAGATCACAAATTCAACCCGAGGCTATTCTCCACGGATAATGAAGTCTATTGATCCTATGCTTCGCAAATGATTAAGCCCATTAAGCACCGATTTGGGGGGATTTAATTTTGGGATGGCATTTTCGTAATTTTTTGAGCGATTTTTTTCGAAAGGCCATTTACTTGAATTTTCGAGGCTATAGATCACATATTCGGCTTGAGGCTATTCATCAACGATAATTAAGTCCATTAAGCAGCGATTTGGGCGGATGTCTTCCACGTCCATTTTGGGCAGATCCTAAAGGGGTACTATCACCGTTTTCCGAGGATTTTCCCGAAATGCCATTTTCTTTCGATTTTGGAGGCTTCAGATCAAAGATTCAACCCGAGGCTATTCTCCACTGATAATGAAGTCTATTTATCATATTCTCCGCAAATGATTCAGCCCATTAAGCACTGATTCGGGCGAATTAATTTTGGGATGACATTTTCATAATTTTTTGGGCGATTTTTTTGGAAAGGCCATTTTCCTAGGAATTTGAATACTACATATCACGAGTTTGGCCTGAGACTATTCATCAAAGATAATTAAGTCGATTAAGCAGTGATTTCGGTGGATATCTTCGGGGTCCATTTTTGGCTGATCCCAAAGGGTTACCATCACCGATTTCGAGCGATTTTCCCAAAATGCCATTTTTCGATTTTGGAGGCTACAGGTCACAGATTCAACACGAGGCTATTCTCCACCGATAATGAAGCCTATTGATCCTATTCTCCGCAAATGATTAAGCCCATTAAACACCAATTTGGGGGATTTAATTTTGGGGTGGCATTTTTGTAATTTTTTGGGCGATTTTTTCCGAAAGGCTATTTCCTTTAATTTTGGAGGCTACAGATCACGGATTCGGCCTGAGGTTATTCTTCAACGATGATTTTGTCCCTTAAGCAGCGATTTGGGCAGATATCTTCCGGGTTAGTTTTAGGCAGATCCCAAAGAGGTACCATCACCGATTTCTGGCGATTTTCCCTAATTGCCATTTTCTTTTGATTTTGGAGGCTACATATCACATATTCAACCCAAGGCTATTCTCCACCGATAATGAATTCTATTGATCATATTCTTCGCAAATGATTAAGCCCATTAAGCACGGATTTGGCCAATTTAATTTTGGGTTGGCATTTTCATAACTTTTTTAGCAATTTTTTCCGAAAGACCATTTCCTTGAATTTTGGAGGCTATAGATCATGGATTCGGCCTGAGGCTATTCTTCAATGATGATTAAGTCCATTAAGCAGCGATTTGGGCGTATATCTTCTGGGTCCATTTTTGGCAGATCCCAAAGGGGTACCATCTCCGATTTCGGAAGATTTTCCCGAAATGCCATTTTCTTTCGATTTTGGGGGCTACAGATCACAGATTCAACCCGAAGCTATTCTCCACCGATAATGAAGTCTATTGATCATATTCTCCGCAAATGATTAAGCCCATTAAGCACCGATTTGGGCGAATTAATTTTGGGATGGCATTTTCATAATTTTTTCGGCTATTTTTTTCGAAATGCCATTTTCCTTGGATTTTGAAGGCTACAGATCACGGATTCGGCCTGAGGCTATTCTTCAACGATGATTAAGTCCATTACGCACTGATTTGGCCGGATATATTCCGGGTCCATTTTTGGCAGATCCCAAAGGGGTACCATCACCTATTTCGAGCAATTTTTCCGAAATGCCATTTTCTTTCTATTTTGGAGGCTACAGATCACAGATTCAACCCGAGGCTATTCTCCACCGATAATGAAGTCTATTAATCCTTTTCTTCGCAAATGATTAAGCCCATTAAGCACCGATTTGGTCGAATTAATTTGGGATGACATTTTCATAATTTTTTGGGGGTTTCTTTCGAAGGCCATTTTCCTTGGATTGTGGAAGCCACAGATCACGGATTCGGTCTGAGGCTATTCTTCAACGATGATTAAGTCTATTAAGCACCGATTTGGGTGGATATCTTCCGGGTCCATTTTTGGAAGATCCCAAAGGGGGTACCATCACAATTTTCGGGCGATTTTTCCGAAATGTCATTTTCTTTCGATTCTGGAGGCTACATATCGCGAAATCAAGCCGAGGCTATTATCCACCTATAATGAAGTCTATTGATATGATTCTCCACGGATGATAGGTCCATTATGCACCAATTTGGGGCAATTTATTTTTGGATGCTATTTTCGTAATTTTTTGGGCGACAAAAGGACATTTTCTTTGTATTTTGAAGGCTACAGATCATGGATTCTGTCTGAGGCTATTCTTCAACGATGATTAAGTCCATTAAGCACCGATTTGGGCGGATATCTTTCGAGTCCATTTTTTGCTGATCCCAAAGGGGTACCATCACCGATTTCAGGTGATTTTTCAAAAATGCCAATTTCTTTCAATTTTGGGGGCTACAGATCACGGATTCAACCCGAGACTATTCTCCTCCGATAATGAAGTCTATTGATCCTATTCTCCGCAAATGATTATGCCCATTCAGCACCGATTTGGGCAAATTAATTTTGGGATGGTATTTTCGTAATTTTTTGGGTGATTTTTTTCGAAAGGCCATTTTCCTTTTATTTTGAAGGGCTACAGATCACGGATTCAGCCTGAGACTATTTTTCAACGATGATTGATTAAGTCCATTAAGAACCAATTTGGGCGGATATCTTCTGGGTCCATTTTTGGCAGGTCCCAAAGGGCTACCATTAGCGATTTCGTGCGATTTTCCCGAAATGCCATTTCCTTTCGATTTTGGAGGTACATATCAATGATTCAACCCGAGGCTATTCTCCACCGATAATGAAGTCTATTGATCCTATTCTCCGCAAATGATTAAGCCCATTAAGCACCGATACCATCACCTATTTCAAGCATTATTTCCGAAATGCCATTTTCTTTCTATTTTGGAGGCTACAAATCACAGATTCAACCTGAGGCTATTCTTCACCGATAATGAAGTCTATTGTTGGAAATGGCGGTAATCGAGTCCAGCTTTATACGAGGGGCATAGCGTAAAGATGGTTTTTCTCACCAATCCTGTGAAAGTGTGAGAGCCCCAGCCAGCCCGGGGTACAATTTCTATTTATTTCGGTTTAATGACTAAGCCCACCCATAATTGGTCTCACTTCATTAATGGGGAAAACTTTGGACCCTCAAGTTGCACTTTCTCCTCCCTAGCTAAGAATGTGATTGCTTATATCCATAAAAATATGTTCTGATTTGTTATGGTTTGGTGAGGGTTCGGGCAAAGCTAAGGTAGCGTGGGAGAATCTTGCTCTGCCTAAGAAGGAGGGAGGTGTTGGTTTTAAGGACCTGCATTCCTGGAATATGACGTGTTTGGCAAGACTTATTTGGCTCCTTCTGGTGAGAGGAGGGAATTTTTGGGTGGCATGGATTTATAAATATAGGCTTAAGGGTCTCACTTTTTGGGATCTGCCTCATTCTTCTCTTGGTTCATGGATTTGGCGCAAGCTTTTGCAGATGCGAGGATGGTTTCAATTTCAGATGACGATAAATGTTCAGAATGAAGTCTTATGGGAAGGGAAACTTATGATTAAGTTCAGGGTACATCAGGTTTGGAATTCCACTCGAATGAGACGTCCATTTGTGTCGTGGTGGCAACTGCTTTGGAGTAAATATGTGATCCCGAGATATAGAATTGTTGCGTGGCTGGTAATATTGAACAAAATATCCATTGGGGATAAACTCAAAGACTGGGGACGAATTACTGATGATGCTTGTCTCCTTTGCTCTAGTGTGGGTGAGATTAGGGGTTGGCAGGATGGGCATCAGATGGCCGAGAGACTGGGATGGATTCCTGCAGGTAGCAAGTCAGCTGCCAATGCAAGGAGGTGCTCAGGGACGTTGTTTTTCTGTCCTTTGGAGTCGGTATGTGAGTCTCGTATGGCAGGAGAGATGTAGGCACCATTTTGAAGGGATTGAAAGGCCGTGACATCAGCTTTTTACCCAGATAAAGCGAGATGTGTTGTTGCTTTCGCTGGGGAATGACCAATTTCGGATGGAAATGCAAGTAGTTCCTTTTTGGAGGGAGTTTGTTTAGACAGATTTTATCTTTTGTTTGCTGTTTTGTGGACGAGTTGTCTTTGTATTTTGGACCGCCTTAACCGATTTGGTTGAAGGGAGCTTCAGTGAATGCCTATTTATCGAGAGAGAGAAAAATTGCACTTTCTCATCTCTTGCTTCTTATATATTTTATAATATTTTCAAGACATACCAACAATTTCGTTCATGTTATTTTTTTAACATTTCTGTACGTTCTCATGTTTTTATTTACCACCACAACCTCCGGCTTGCCTCGTATTACTAAACCCCCACAGATTTGAACCCAACCACAACTCTTCCCCTTCCCCTTCTTCCCCCTCTCCACTCTGCTCCAAAGTCAAAAAAGCTCCATCCTTTAGTCTACCTTCTCCATTCCTCCAACCCCTCTCTCCCTTTCATCCACTCAATTCCCCGCAACCCATCTTCAACCTCCAGCCAGCCGGCCAAAACCAGAAAAAGAAGCCTCCTTTACTTCACTTTGATCGTTAAGTTCCTAAAAAATGGCTCATCCTCCTAATCCAAAGCACTTATTCGAGCTCTTACAAGACGACCAGGAGCCTTTCTTGCTCGAAAACTACATTGCGGACCGCCGCTGCCAAATCATCCAAACCAGAGTCCAATCCAACCACCACCACTCTTCTTCCAATCTCAAGAAACGGAGACCCATTTCGCGAAACTTAGCGAGGAGTGCTTGTTTCTTGTCTTTCGCTGCCGAATCCCCTGTTCCAAAATCGCCACTCTGTTTCCCGAGATCCCCTGTCGTCGGTAGCCCTGCCTCTGCTCTCCACCGCTCCAAAACGGCGTCGCTTCTCCCGGAAGCCGCGCTCCGAATCTCGCAGAAGCATCAGCAGAGGTCGGGCAAGGCGCGGAACGGAGGGATTTTCGGATCTCTGCTCCGGCGGCTCACGCAGGGACGGCGGAAGGGCGGTAATAAAACCGACGGCGGGGAGAGCGGCAGGGTGTCGGTGAAGGATGTTCTGCGGTGGGATTTCAAGGATTCGCCCTCAGCCGGGCCCTGCAGCGCGGTTTGGTCGGAGAGTACTAATGCCGATTTGGATTTGGACGGTTGTTCCTCCGCCGGCCGGAGCAGCTGCGACGAGGAGATGGAGTTCGTCGACGAGATCGTGGAATTCATTTCCTCCGATAACCACAAGCAGTTCTGCGAGAGCCCTTTCCGTTTCGTCCTTGACACCAGCCCTTCCTCGTCCGGCTGCCGGACTCCAGACTTCTCGTCGCCGGCCGCTTCTCCGATACGTCTCAACGCCGAGGTATATATAACTATACATCCCTTTCTCACTCAATTTTCAAGAATCTTTAAGCTTAAGGAAAAAATTAAATAGATTCCCTTAACGGCGACTCGCCGCCGTCGTTGAGCTTTGACTTAATTATTTACTTAGATAAGTAGATGTCGGCAAAGACTGCTATAACTGCAATCTTGGCCGGAGTATTGTCTGGTTAAACTACGTAGATAGCGGGAGCGGTTACGGTGCTAATTGTACAATAGTTAGCACCGTCCTAATCAAGGGAAAAACTACTACTAGTTTGAATTAGTAGTGATTTAGCTTAGATACTGTATTGATTTTATAATAATCCGTAGTGATTTCGTTATTTAGCTTAGATGTTGTATTGATTTTATAATAATCCGTAGTGATTTCGTTATTTTTAGTAGCGTTTTTTGCTAGTTATCACGGTGCTAACCCCTATACTATTCCGGCACCTAATCCTATCCCTAGTTAGCCCTGGTGAGATTGAAGCTGGAAGCCGGTTATTAGTGGCATGCTCGTCATTTACAATAAAAAAAATGTACTTTCCGATTACGAATCCGGCAAGCAAATCTTTTTTTTTTCATATGGGAACAATCGAAAATACTTTTACTTCGTAAAATCAAATAGAAAAAATAAACTTTACTCTAAAGGAGACAAAACTTTGCCAATTTTGTATTTTTCTAGAGTCACCAACTTTTATTTAGCTGTATTTTTCTGAAAAAGTCAACAAAATACCCACCAATTTTAACTTAGAAATTTCTCGATAATCCTTTTTAAAAACTAAACCCGCCAATTATGAGTCTACTCAACGCAAAATAGTCCCTAGAGAGGATGGACATGGTATGACCTTAGATCGGGTCGAAATTGATACAAGATTAGATCGAATCTAGAAAATGTAAGGATGATATAAATCATGTACTTGACATGATATGTTCCGGTTAACCGAAAATAGAAACCATTAAAAGTACCCAATAAGAATTCTTAAGCGTTTCATAACCGGTTAACCGAAAACCGAAACCATTGTACCACACCCTAGCTTTATGTATAGGAAAAGAAAGTTTTAACATTGGGATAGTACAAGGGGAATGAAAAGAAGGGTATGTTGTTAACTGGTCACTTTCGAACAGGGGAATGAGAATAACAGCGATGGCGAAAGCTTGAAGAAGTGCCAAGTACTGAAACAACAAGCCGGTAATGGAGAAGGAGATGAAGAGGAAGAAGAGAAGGAACAATGCAGCCCTGTTTCAGTTCTCGACCCACCCTTCGACGACGACGATGAGGATGACGACGAGGACTGTGATGACGATGAAACAGAGGACGACGGTTTTGATATGGAGAGCAGTTTTGCATTTGTACAAAGTAAGTAAATATTCTCTTTAATTTCCTACTCTGTTCTTACAAATAATTGATTGAGTTTTGTTTGTATCATTTATTTTTATGTCCTTTTTGTTGGCTGGTTTGTCTGGTCTTTATCATCTTGACAGAGCTTCAACATAAACCTTTGTACTTTTGAGGGTAAAATCTTTTGTGGGTTCCATTCCTGAGATTGCTGATTGCTCCTGTCTCTTTACACCATATACAAATGCATTATAATCCTATAATTTTTTTACATTGGTTTTTCTGTGAAATCCTGTATGATAACGAGAAGCCTGATACACTGGATTAGGGTTTTCGTAGTAATCAACAAATATGCACTTAAAATTGTTACTATATTCCTTATTTACACACTCCACATGTCTTAATTCGTTGCTCGCATCATCTTCTTTGATGTTTCGTTTGATCATCACCTGTTTGAGGTAGACATTTGTGGCTGGTTTGGTTTGTTATCAAATTTGATTTCTTTTTCAAAATCTTGGTGGGAATAAGTGGAACCCATAGTAGTTAATGAGCCTTAACCAAAAAGACCTTATCTTTTGGAAACAATAAATCATTCAATTGGTACCTAAATAAATGCTGCTGCTCCTTTTACTATCTTTAGCAACTGGAATCTGCTTGTACTTGGGTCTGCTGCAATGCTACAGTCTAGGCTTAATTGAGTAAGAAAAGTTATTTTCATGGTAGTTAATGGAGAGGTTGAAAATTTTCAGGGGGTGAAATGAAATCAAATCATATGTTTCATCGTTTTGATGATTAGGGTTTATGTTTGGCCAAACATAATGCCCTGCTCACACCTTACTAAACTTGGTAAAGAAAACAATTACAAGCAATAAATTCCATATGCTACCTGAAATTCTGCATTCCGAAAAATTAAGTCCCTTTTCCCTTTCCAGCCAACAATTTAATTTTTCTTACAACCTAGTCAAACTTCAACATCAAGTAATTAATCTAATAACTCCTTTTATTCACCTGTCCTTCCCAGGAGCAAAGCAACAGCTGCTCCAGAAGCTCCGACGATTCGAGAGGCTGGCAGAGCTCGACCCAATCGAGCTTGAGAAACTAATGCTCGAGCATGATGATGATGACAACGAAGAGGAAATAGAAGAAGGGGAAGGTGAGAAGAGCCAGTTTATGATAGATGAGCTTATTAACAAGTCGAGCTTCCAATGTGTTCCTCGAGACATGAAGAGGTTGGTATCCGACCTCATCAATGAGGAGGAGCGAGGATCGACTCGTACCAATAACAACATCACCTCGAGTGCAAGTGAAGAAGCTGTGGCGAAAAGGGTGTGCAAGAGGTTCGAATCATGGAAGGAAGTGGAGTCCAACACCATTGAGATGATGGTGGAGCAAGATTTCGTTCGATCGGAGGGCGAATGGAGAGGGAATCGAGACGAGGTCTCGGATGCAGTGGTTGAGATTGAAGTTGCCATATTTGGGTTGCTGGTTGAGGAGCTAGCAGAGGAGTTAGTGATACTAACACATGGTGGTGGTCCATTGATGGTATGAAAAATGGGTACAAGAGGTGGTGGGGGGAAAAGGGGGAATTGAATTTTTGGCTCCACTTTGTTTATTTGATTTTTTTAGCATTAGTTATTACATATCTATTAGAGTAAATTATTACAGTCTAACAATGGGATAATGGAGAAGGTATAGGCTAATGAGAGAGAGGATCCTGAGGCCATATAGAGGGTAAAAGGATCTGAGCTTTAGCAAATGGTCAGTTAGTAGCTGCTATCTAGTAATCTATATGTAAATGAATTATGTATCATTTGTTCAATGAGGCATAAAGATGCATATTTCCCCCGCTCTTTCGATCTCACGTTAGTTTGATTTTTCTATCATAGTTGTTTATTCTCTAAACTTTACATCTGGTCTTTCGATTCGTGTCCAAATAAACGAAATACATTTCGTAATCACTCACTCATGACGAGAGTTGGTGCTTGCAACAGGGACATAACTAGACATGGAATAATGATCAGGTAGGGGGAAAAGTGGTTATGATTGGTTAGCTTTGGCAGTCTATCATTATACAAACAAGATTAGGCAGTGATGGGGACATCACATCTAACCAAATTATTTGGAATAATCAGAGGGGTAGATAGAGATTGTAAGATGCCTGAATGTAGTAATTAAGCAGCAGACAGTTTTTGGGTTTAGCTTAAAAAAGCTTATAGAAATTTGTCAATGCGTTTGACTTGCTAATGATGCTCAACAACTTGCTTTCTGTTCTCTTGACACAATGAACATTCTTTCACCAACTAATTATGCCCAATACATGGACATAAGGTAAGGCATCTCTCATCCATAATCAATCGTTGTTTTGAAATATTAGGAACTACTTTTGTAACCCATTAATACCAATTGTCATAAAAAAAAATATATAAAAATCATGTATGGATACAAACTAGTGCAAATTTATATGAAAGTTTGCAATATGGTTACCGCCCTTTCTGTAAAAACTGATAAACCCGAAAGTCACAATTTCTGAAAACAGACGTCAAAATCAATGTACGTTTGATGAATACCGAGAGATCGACCCATTCCAATCGGGCACTAAACCGGTCTTTATCCTACATGCTAGGTGTCACTAAAGTTTGTTTATGCTGTCAATTTGGTTAAAGGAACTTGCTTTTATGCTGGCTGGAAAACCTACTTATGACAAAATCCATTTAGATTGATCTCACACAGTACCTTTGATTCCCCTACTGATTTTTTAAAAGAACAGATCCTTCTGTTGTTTTTTTTTTTTTTTTTAGCTCTAATGGGGTCAAGTCTTTCACTTTGATTTTTTCACAATGGAGCTAGAGCCATAGCCATGGAGGGTGGGCAAGTAACCAAATTGAAGGGCTCAAGAAAGGATTCGAATCCACTTTGGCTTTGAGCCAAGGAGCCTACAATGCAAAGCAAGCATCATCATTTTGTCCTCCCCTGTTTCCTTCAATGGCTGCCCCCTACCATAAAAGTTGTTGTTTCTCTTTTATAGGTTTGGTTGGTCATGGATATTAAGAACATTCATCTCTTTACCAAGTATTTATTTTATCCTAGATATATGCTTTTGCAATTAGGAATGGTAATTCCAACCATTTCATGTATTTTTACTCATGAGCTCATCCTTATAACAGTTATTACTTATTAGATGAATTTTCTTAATACATTGTACTTTGCTGATTTTAGAAATTGTTAAAATATAAGCAAATTGAAAATAATTTCTACTTCAGTTATGATGCAAGTTGAGGTTCACAACAAAATACATACAAATCCTCCCCTTCTGATGGGCCTGCTCAGAATCTCAGTGAAAAAAATCTTAAGAGCAAGGCCTTAAGACCAACTATATATCTATCTATCCCTGAGCAGGCCCAATGACAGGCCCACGCCATTCCCCTCTGGATCAGCATTAGCAGTACTAATGGGCTTGAAAAAGGGACTATGGCGACGAAGAACCATCTCCCTAGTGCGTACGGGAAAAGTTAATCTGTTAACTTGAAGATTCGTTAGCATATACTAATTGATATCTAAAATATATGAACTAATATCCAAGTACTAAAGTATCTAAAGAGCACAGTCTAGTATTCAAAGTTTGCTAACTGATATCCATCATAAATCAACTATTATCCAAAATTCACAAACTAATATTTAGACAACACATAATAGTATCCACACAACACATAATTAGTATCCAGATAACACATAAGAGTATCCATATTGAATACTAGTTGGTTGACTGTGGATATTAGTTGGTATATGCTATGTGGATACTAGTTTGTGATGTTTTGAATACTAGTCTGTGCTATCTAGATACTCAGCAAACTTGGATATTAGTTAATCAATTTTGGATATTAGTTAGTATATACTAACGAATCTTCAAGTTAGCAGAATAACTAGGCTGAGTACTAAGTACTTATAACTACGCAGCCCTTTTGTCCTCCATCTTCAAATTTGTCAATCTCAAGCCTAGTACCAGTTGGCTTAACCTAATTAATATAATCTTATTTTTATTTCTTTTCAACTAACTGGCAAGCAGGTGTGTCCTCTGCTTCAAAGAGGAAGAATCGATTAATCATCTATTGGTAAATTGCAGCTACACCAGGCAAGTTTGGGGAGAGGTATACAGCTCCGGAACTCTTCCCGACTTCGCTTCTGAAGATATTTCAGACATCATCAACAGCAATTCTACTAATCGCATGGATGGTATGGAGTCTTGGTTTCGCTACTGTGTTGTTCATGCAATTTGTTGGGAAATATGGAAAGAAAGAAACAGGAGGATCTTTCAAGAGCTAAGCTGCACTCCTCGAGTGATCGCGAGGAAGACAATGAGAGGAATCATTGATTGGATTTTGGCTCGCAAAAAGATCGACAAAGATCAGGGGATGGAGTTTTTGACTTTTTGCAGATCTGGTCTCGAAGAGGGGATAGTAGTTGATGGGCTCCGCCTGAGATTGAACTCTCGGCCTTCCTTTGTTTGTTGTCCAGGGTCTCTTTTTCGTTTGGATCTTCATTCAACTGTAACTCTTCCCTTACCCACTCCTTGGGGTGACCAATTCTCTGTATCTTTATACTCTTCCTCTCACGCCTTGTGGGATTTGTTTGCTTTGTCTAATAAAATTCATCGTCATTATAAAAAAAAAAAACTTATTTTTCCATGTTCAACAATCTCATCAGTTAGGTGTATAGTTTTTTCCCCCACTCCGGGCAACAAATTTCGCGAATTCGTTTGTGGAAAGCAAAAATGAATCTGATCACAGCTTTGAATTTGAAATTGGTCTACCCGACAAACCCAAGATTATTGTACAATATATCGTGGCGCCGCATTTCGAGTCCCCCTCTCTGGTTCAACGTGCTTAAAAGAAGACCAACTTATTTAATTTATTCAGTGTTCATATCTATATCAGGACTCAAAAGTGGAAGAGAGGAAGCTGCCACATTGTTGATGAATGCGATGTCGGGCATATGCTCCAAAGCAATGTTTGCCAAATCGGGCGGGAACCTATATATGGCAAATTTTGCCACTTCGATCTAGTTGATCACTGGGCATGATTCATGCATGCATATGGTGGGCAGGATCCATGCATGCTCGCCGCAATATTATTGAGAATGCTGGTGGCCGGTGGCCGGTGGGTTGACTACTGGCTCCTCCATCCCCAGTTGAAAAGGCGGTTAGTGAGGTGGCATCTTGTTTTTAACAGATGAGGTCATCAATATTCATATTCGAACAGAAGGCCTATCGGTCACAAAATACTTTGATATCTTGTTTAGAACCAACTGATTTTATTATCTTGAGTTGTTTGGAGATATTCAATTATGAATCATATATCATTGACTAACACGTGCCTATATAAAACTAATACACGAACATCATACTTGAAAAAGTATAGTATGTCATAAACCAACTGGTACCAATAACTCGAGTTGTACTCGCGAGAGAGTTATTTATATAGATCATACACCACTCTCTTACACGCCCTCGCGAACAAAAGTCAACTTATAATGAGTTTGGTGTTTTCACAAACCCGTCATACCTTGTGCTTAAATCAACTGTGGGGTCGTGGAGATTTGAACATGCGACCATCTGGCCAAACCAGCTCTGATACCATTTCATAAACCAACTTATCACAATAATTTGAGTTGTTGAAAGATAGTTATCTATGGATCGGGTACCACTTTCTTACATAATACCTCAACTATCTCATTCATAGTGCATTAAATTTTCAACTACTTTGTTTTCCGTTGAGTTTTTCATCATTATTTTTTAAAGTCGTTATTGTTAGTCTCAGTGGCGGAGCTCCGTAATCTCCCTCAACTTTTGATTAAAAGTACATGTAAAATTTATAACAATAAAAAAATTGAATATCTATCAAGATTTTGAACCCATCACTGACCATTATAGTTTACTAGGGATGACGATGAGTCAGGTCGGGGACGGATAGTGCATATTCGTTACCCTACCCAAAATAGTTTGGGTTTTAGTTTTACCCATACTCACATAAGAAACAGGTAGAAAATCCAAACCATGCCCATACTCATTCGAATTTTGGTTATCCACAATTATCCATGAATAATGATTTCTCTTTATAACTTCAACCAATATATTAATATTCACGTGTATTCAGTACATTATTTTCCATCACCCAGACTGGATCGCGAGTTACTGGCCGTAATCATTGTGTTCCCATACGTGGGAATAGTAATTAATCTTTCGAAGAAAAGTAATCATCATTAGTTTTGAGTAATCTCCCACTTTTAACGATCGATGGATAATTAAGAGCAGACTTAACTGCCTAGCTAGGAAATCAAAGAGAATAAAAAATAATACAGCAAAACGCAAAACTTTGATCGTTAATCCCCCACGTGCGGCTTTTCCCTTCACGTGGGAATACAATTCAACACGTTTTCCACGGTGAAGTTGCTGATTTCGTTCTTAAACCTTAGCTCCCCTTCCGTTGCCCTTTCTCCCGATTGCGGCTACGACCCATCTATATTCTCTACCACACACACACATATATAGTTCCCAACTCGATCTCTCTATGCGTAACCTTCTACACTTACCATGCAGCATTACCTGAGAAACGAGATGACTAGTCCACCGCCGTCATCCTCGAGCGACGGAGGCCGCGGCAGCCGTTCACCACCGTGCACTGGTGGCCGGCCATCACGGCCGCCGCCAAAGCGAAAAGCCGGGCGGAAGAAATTCCAGGAGACACGTCATCCGATCTACAAGGGCGTGCGTCGACGAAACGACAAGTGGGTGTGCGAGATCCGACATCCTCAGAACACCAAGTCGAGGATCTGGTTGGGCACATTCACGTGCCCCGAGACGGCGGGCAGGGCCCATGACGTGGCGGCGCTGGCGCTCTGCAGGGCGGCGGACTCGGCGGGAACGAGGCTGATGCTGAAGCTGAACTTCCCCGAGTCGGCTCACTCGCTGCCTCGTGCCGCGTCGGATTCCGTGAAGGACATTCAGCGCGCGGTGGTCCAGCTGGCTACCGTGGAGACCGGTGGGGGTGCGGTGTCGGGTGACGGTGTTGGTGACGTGGAGGGAGGGGATTGGGGGGCGGTGGTGGGGAAGGTGGAGCCGATGGTGTTTGTGGACGAGGAGGAGCTGTTCAACATGCCGGCGTTGTTGAACGGCATGGCGGAAGGGATGATTGTCACGCCGCCGGGGATGAAGAGAGGGTTTTGCTGGGATGATGACGTGGACGGCGGTGGTGATGATCAGGGCATGGACTTCACGTTGTGGAGTGACTATTGATTAGTTGTGGCTGTGTTGCTTATGACAAGAAAGGCAACTGTCTGTCTCTTTTGGACAATGTTAGAGAGCTTGTTAGACCATTATTATGTGTTGATTTTGAGATATTCGATTGCTGAATTGGTCAAGGAGATGAAGCTGTAATGTTTAGAAACTTCGTGTGGAGTTTATTTTTCTTAATAAGGTGGTTGATGTGGGAAGGTGGTTGATGTGATCATTATGCATTGGGTTGGTTTGGTTCAATTCTTCTATCCTATTATTTTCGAGGCGGAGTTTAATCTGAGTCTCGATAAAGAATGATGATGATTCGATGAATGACCGAGCGAATATGTAAACTTCAAAGTTAATATGAGGAAACAAAACTAATCGATCATCATGAAAAGACTAATCTCGAATTACTCGCTCCCATTAGTCTGTGAAGAGAGCAAGGCGAAGAGTGATGTATATGAACTGGGTGAGTTGTGTCATTATGGAAGAAATCGGGGCGTGATCTTTGCTATCTTTCCTCCAGATAAGTCATCTTATATTTCAAATCTAATCTTGATGCCTATACATCAACTCCAAAATTGACCGTGCTCTTTGCATCTTTCAATTTTAGGGTTTACACTAGGAGAAATTTAAAAAAAAAAAGAGAAGAGGATGGGGGAGGAGATTCTCTGTTCTAAGTTTGAGAATTTTTTAAAAAAGGGACATGGCCATTTTGGGATAAAAACATAAATATTTCTATTCGGTTTACTGTTAATTGCATATTAGATTAACGATTACACTGGTAGCCAATTTTAGCCTACCGATAATTGTATCACTAACATAAAATTCATAATCATTAATCCTCCTTTCTATGAAATGGTTTTACGGGTTTCGGCCAATTGTCTTCATCGTGGGATATCATTGAGAAATAGGAAGAATTCGTATTATTAAAAGATTTCTTGCGATTATTTCAAATAGGGAATGAGTCAATCATCCACTTTGGTATCTTATTGAAGAAAAATGATGATATTGCTCCTCGATTGATCAAAAACTTCGATCGATTATTTTATCGATTTAATTAATAAGCACAAAGATCTTGCATTATGCATAAGTAAATATTTTTTCCAAATATCCCCTCAAAACAATATTTCCCAAATATTAGGAGTAGGAGATGGGTACATAACTGGTCCATTGCTGCTTTCAATGTCCGTACACCATGCTATTGAAATTTGAAACCAGGCCTCGTCCACATGCATCAATAGAGGACCACTGGGCCTCCTCCAGAACTCGCCCGGGTGGCCCAACTTCGGCCCGCTGTCTGTCTATTGGGCCGTTCTCTCGACAGACCTACTAAATGGGCATTTTTCTCTCCACGTGTAACAAAATCAGTGGCGTTGACTAATCAAACTATGAATAGTCAGCGGAAATTTCACCCTTTTTTAAGCTCCTCTTATCCTCCGACGACGACGAACGAACTCGATCCAACTCATCACAGAAACGAAAAAATGACAAACAACGGCGGCAACGGCGCCGCCGCCGACTCCCAGCCCCACCACCACCACGAAGAAATCGCGAAATGGGAACCCAACCCCGACCGCCTGAAATCGATGCACCAGCGAATCACCACCCCGCCAAAGCTCCTCTCCCAAACCGCCGGCCACAGCTCCTGCTGCATCTTCCGAGCTCCGACCACCTTCGCCGGCGTAAACAACAAATCCTACCAGCCCCACATCGTCTCCATCGGCCCTTACCACCGCGGCAAGCCGCACCTGGCCATGATCCAAGAGCACAAGTGGCGCTACTTGGGCTCCCTCCTCAACCGAATCCCTAATCTCACCCTCGAATCCCTCTTATCCTCAATCGCCCCGCTCGAATCCCAGATTCGAGCCGCCTACTCGGAGCAAATCGACCTCGATCGAGACGAATTCCTCGAATTGATGGTCCTCGACGGCTGCTTCGTCGTCGAACTGTTCAGAAAAGTCGCTGGAGTCGTCGAATTCGAGCCGCACGACCCCATCCTGGCGATGTCGTGGATCATGCCGTTTTTCTATCGGGATTTCCTCCGCCTCGAGAACCAGATCCCCTTCTCCGTCCTCGAATCGCTGTTCGATTCGACGCGGCGCGGAGAAGAAGAGAAGGAGAACATAATCCACACCCACCCTGCTTTCAGCAACACGGAACTTCAATTGTCATATAAGAGAAAGCACTCCAACCATCAAAACCCACACAACTCGCGAAAGAAGTACGAGACGAGAATTGACATCAGTCTGGGTTCGAATTCGTCAAATTGGGCGCTGAGCTTATCGGCGTTGGCTCTGTACTTCTTCAACCACTCGATGCAGAGGCCGGAGGAGATCGTTTACAAGTACAGAGATTTGAAAGGGAAGCACCTCCTGGATCTGATCCGCTCCAGCTACACCCAATTCGACCCCCCGCCGGTCCGCCGTTCGTCCGATTCGCCGCCGACCCACATCATCCACAGCATCACGAAGCTCCGCAAGGCGGGGATCAAGCTCCGCCGGGTCGACGGAGGAGAACTCGACGGCAGCCCGCTCCAGGTCCGGTTCCGGCGGGGAGTGGTCGAGATGCCGTCGATCACGATCGACGACTTCATGAGCTCGTTCCTGGTCAACGCGGTGGCCTACGAGCAGTGCTACAGCGGCGGCGGCGGCGGCGGCGAGTGGCCGATGCACTTCACGGCGTACGCGACGCTGCTGGACTCGCTGGTCAACGGGTTCCGTGACGTGGAGTATTTGGTCGACAAGGATATTTTGGAGAATTATTTGGGCACGGAGGCGGAAGTCGCGAGGTTTCTGAACGATTTGGGGAAGGAAGTCGCGTTCGACATTGACGAGTGTTACCTGGCGGAGGTGTTCGGCGATGTTCATCGATATTACGGGAGCAGTTGGCATTTCCAGTGGGCGAGTTTCAAGTTTACTTATTTTCAGACGCCGTGGTCGTTTATCTCGGCATTGGCGGCCCTGGTGTTGCTGGTTCTTACCGTGTTGCAGACTGTTTATACTATTTACGGCACCTACAATTAGAAGGATTAGGTGATAGACATTTGGATTAGGTAATTGATTGTAAGGATGTGATTGTAGAGAATTTCAATATCATTAATTATATTATAGTTGATAGATCGTTGTTTGGTTTTTTCGTGGTATGATATTTATCTTGTATGTTTTGAAAAGTTCGTAATTATGAACATTGAATACTTGATAGGTTGTTTACGAGAGTCATTGAATGGTAAATTTGATCGAATTTGTCATTTGTTCGAGGAAGAAGTTTGATGGTAAGAGTCCCACAATCCTAGTTAGACACTCCAATAATCCAAAAAAGTATAAGAGTCTCTTATTAATAATTAGACAGAAATCAAATATATAGTTACATGAGTGGCACCTCAAAATTCTGAAGGTACAAATTAATTCTAAAGATGATAACACATAATTTGCTTAACCAATTAAACACCGACATGACTCTATATAACACATTTTTTACTCACTGAAAATCTTTAAACCTCACACCAAACTAGTCAGTCTGCTTCGGTTTTAGACTTACCAAATGGTCGCCTCTAATTCAATTATACAAGAACCGATGTAAACTCGAATCTACCCATCAATGTCACTCCTCTCCATTCTTACTAACTTGTAGAGCAAATAATTCTAGATGGGGAAAGTGCAAGGATGAAGTTTGATAGTGACATTTGTGGTAGAGGCTAAGTTATTCAAGCCGCCTCTCGCTGGCTTAATTCCATAGCTTTTGGTTTTAATCGAATTTGGAAGGAACCTCGCTCCAGCTTAGCTCAAGAAAATATCCAATTGAGTGTCCCTCACGTAACAAAGAGTGTTTTGACTCTTCCTCGTCGGAACAAAAGAATCAACATCTGAAGTGTGTTCTTCAAGACTTCCATCATTGCCACATCATTAGGTAGGGATACACCTAGCTAAGTACTCTTTGTAGGGAAGGAGGAAACTAGCGCTCCAGCTTACTAGTTTTCTCTACTAAAATTTTCTACATAACCGATATTTGTATCATATGCATAAATTAATTCGGTTGTGATTTTATGAATTGTCTTAAATATAAAGAAAAAAAGTGGGCATAAGTTGTAATTACATTGAACCGTATCAAGCGAGTGATTCTCATTTTTATTATATTTTTAGTTTGACCCTATATCCATATTCGAAATCAACCGATGTATGTCCAACTCCTAAGTACAATTCAAATTTTTAAAATCATTTGAGCTTTCGGTCCGAGATTCTCAAAATTTTGGCTGATCAACCACCGAACATGAAAAATTCAAGTTATTAGAAGCATTTCTATTTTCTACCCAATCCTAGACTTTGTCTTGTGTAAATTCATCGAATCCTTTCGTGGAATCTTCCAAATACATATGCGTGAAACGTGTGGAAATTCATTGGTACACCTCCATTCGATGATATCGTCCAAGGAAGAAGGAACCCTGTAAACTCAGCAATATATGTGTTAATTAATCATGTTTGACTGTTGAAAGGTTCATCCTCATACTTGCCCATCACGAAGACACTCATTCTCGACCAATCTACCGCCTTTGAAATGTCAAATTAGCCCATCCCTATATAACTCAAATCCCATCCCCATACTTTTCCCCCACAAAAAGATCTCAGTTCCTATCTCACCCAAAGAAAATATAGAAAAGACTGCATCACAATCAAATCAACGCCGCAAAAATTTCCACCGCGAAACAACAACAAGCTCCGCAAGAAGATGACATCCGACGGATTTCGTCCAAGCAGTGTAATGGGCTTCCCGCAGCCCACCAGGCCGGACAACAGCTACTCCCCACGCCTCCTCCTCCCCGTCGAAACTCCTTACCAACCAGCCATGGATTCTCCTGTCATGGCTTACCCTGTTGGCTATCCGCGGGTTCAGTCGCGTGACGGAGGAGAAGCAGTGGAGGAGGAGGAGAAAGAGACGATCGAGGAGCTGAAGCGCGGGATCATGGAGCTGTACGAGAAGCTGCCGATGGCGGTGAGGAGCCAGGTGAATCTCGAGAAATTCCACATTCCCAGCAATGTGGTGACCAACTTGAAGGTGGACGCGGCTCGGAGCCGGGAGGTTCAAGGGATCGTGGACCAGCTGTCGCCGAAACTCGAGCGGTTCAAGGTCAAGACGGTTCGAGCCGGAGGGGGCGGCGGCGGAGGAGGCGTGGTGAAGGTGGAAGAGGAGGATGATCGAAACGGGTGATGTCGACAACGCGAAAATTTGGGTCAAATCGCATTTGTGACAACTACGTGATTCATGATACTTCTCGACTTTATGTTTGAGATGTGGAGCACATGCAAGTAGAGAATTGTGGTAAAACAAAGCAACAATAGCTGTATTTGCTCGTGATTTTTTTGGATGGATCGTGTGCTACGATTCGTCAAATTCCAGGACAAACAGAAGGGGTTTGGTAAAAGTTGTACATTTTTTCAATCATATATACTGATTATGTTTTTTCTTAATTCATTTATTTTTATTTTCAATTTTTGTTTGTAAAAGTTTGTAACTTCAATTCACTGAGAGCAACACCTCGATGTAGAGGTGCTGGCTTCTGTAAAATATCTATCTATCTATCTACTTATTTTTGCCAGTCCTGGTGTTCAGCTAGAATTATTTATCAAAAAAATAAAATGGTGTTCAGCTAGAATTATTCAAAGGTTTGTTATTCTGAACTCCTCAGTCGTGGGCTTGTCCTTTCATTTATGCCTTTACACCGAATGCCTTCTTGTCCAACCCATCAGAATTTAACTCGGTTTGAGGTGGGCCTGTAATTGGGCTATTATATCGTTGCCGAAATATAAATACTGTCATTCATCGAACTAGCTAGCGTACGTGTAATACATATAACATTGGATGGTGAAACTACGTGGTCTAAATCGACCGCCCAAATTAGTTTTTGGTCCCACAATTGGCAACATGATATTGTGTATCTTCAGGAACATGAGATTTCTGATTTGCTTGTGTGGGATAACCTGGATTTGGAGTACACCATAATCAATATGAAATTCTAAAATTATGATTTTGATTACTTTTCTGACGTGGTATCCAGGTTTTTTATCATCATGAGTGTACGTATAAGATATAAAATAAATTCGTCCAAATCAGTGCTTAATGGCCTACTCCTCATGGAGAATAGGATCACTAGACTTCATTATCAGTGGAGAATAGTCTCAAGCGAAATCCGTTATCTGTAGCTTCTAAAAACGAAAGAAAATGTCATTTCGGAAAAATCACTCGAAATCTATGATGGTACCTCTTTGCCCATTGATCAATTGATTATGTAGCATCCATCTAGATCTTTCAATAAGTAGACCTCAATATATTGGGTGGCATGGATGGCAAACGAATCCATGCCGGACACCTAGTCAGCTACTCATGCCATGAAAGTGGCATGATGTACCCACCAATCAAACGAGCGTAAGGGGCTTCATTGACCCAGCCACATGACTCACTGCTTACCGGTCATGGCAGAGTCATCACATCGCAAGTGTCACAAATCTAACTAAACTTGCCCCTTCGTCATCTTTTTTTGGCCATGATTGGCCTATGATTATTTTTTATCTCCCTCTTCATTTTAATAGTATTTTTATTTATTTAATTATTATAGTAAAGAGTGAGACGTCACTGATTTCTATCCCCTTTGGCAACCACTAATGTGCCAGAGGTGTACTCCCACTGACAAGTCAATCAATTAAACCAAACCAACCATCCATACACTACTTAGCTTCCCTCTTTAAGGGGGAGATGACTCATTTGGTGTTGGTTTTGAATTTTCCAACTTAACAACGGATGGTATCCGATCGACTTGTCTTGCCTTGGTTAGGGATGGCAACAAAACCCGAACCCACGGGTACCCACCCGACCCAATCCGGTCAACGCGGGTAAAATCCGTGTTGACGGGTTTTGGGCCGGGTTTGGGTTTAAACCCGTTCACTATTCATCGGGTTGGGTTGGGTTTGGGTTTAGGTAAACCCGACCCATGGGTACCCGCCCACACCCATATAATTAATTTTCTCGGCATATTTAATATTCTAAACAACTAATCTTATTTATGTTTGTGGAGGCATGCCTAATTTTTTCTTTCTAGTTATGTAGTATGAAATTGATGTTATCGAGTGGAAAGTGAAAAACTTAATTGAAAGGAAGAAGCTTTCAATTAATCATGTTATTAGTGGATAATTTGTGATTTGCTTCAATTTTCTCGAGATTTCTAGATTGGTGTTGAACAATTTGTATAGTTAATTTGTGATTTGCTTGAATTTTCTAGAATGGTGTTTTATATATGGATAATTTGTATTGGGAGATTGATATTTGACTTTAATTTTGATAGGAATTTTTTATTGTGAATTTTTTACGACAAAAACCCGTGGATACCCAGCGGGTTGGGTTGGGTTTGAGTTTTTCAAACCCAGTGGGTTTTACCCCGGGTTTTTTTCACGGATAAACCCATGGGTTTGGGTTTGGCAAAACCCGACCCAACCCGACCCATTGCCATCCCTAGCCTTGGTGGGCTTGCAAGGGGTCCTCTGATCCTCTGCCTTAGCCACCTTACTAGACATGTTGGGTTCATGTTGAACCTGATGTGTTTGCCTCGTACCAAATGGTACATTAGGCATTCTCAACTCCTTGGCCTCGTCAAAGGGGTCAGGTGTTGTCATCTTTCTTAGTTTTCCCCAATTTAACACATGCTTACTCTTCCCATATGACTGGAAAGACGAGTGCTTGGACTTACAGAGTTGACGAACACCCTTGTGACCAAATTGACTCTTTCCAAACCTCATATCTTCTCGGCTTTTACACTTAACTGACTAGTCTTTGTGTGGCAGCTGACAGTACATTATAGATGATTACTTCATGCATAGTCATGCTCGTGCATGCACTGTGTATATATTATAAACATTGTGTTGTGCGCTTTACCTGCAGAGTCTTACATTCCCCATGAATGGGGTTCAGATGGTTTGAAATTTGAAACTTTAATAAAATAACAATGACAAAAAAAACAACTGGCCTATTAGCTCAGCTGGTTAGAGCGTCGTGCTAATAACGCGAAGGTCACAGGTTCGAGACCTGTATGGGCCATTATTTTTGTGTTTTCTTTTCATTTTTTTCTGTTTCTGCTCTTTGAGCGGGCTAACGGCGCTCCTTTGGGCGATATGATTTCATGGGCTTTAGTATCCAGGGCCAAATACGATGGAGAGTGACATTAGTTGCCACCATGTGGACCGCGGGCCGTTTAATTTTTTTTCCCCTGTTAGAAGCCCATTTAACGACTTGGACTGCACTAGTCCCATCATCAGATTTTCAAACAAATTACAAATTGATCACGAAACTTTGATTCTTAACAAATGTTTCCATTCCTAGCCTTCATTGGTGTAACATCCGGTCCATGACCTCGATTCAATCGCCAGCTTATGAAAAACTACTCGCAAAAGGACCAACAAATACATCAATCCTCTTAACCAAAGCCGACGAGACTTGCATCCCTTCACACTCCTGCTAACATAAATTCTTGTTCTGTGCAGGTTTGTAACAAGTAACCTCTGGAACAGAAGGCCGCTGCTTCTACAACTGCAAGCATAGGGGATTTGCATTGCCACAAAGGCGACAATCAACTACGAGTGGCAGATTCGTAGCAAGGAGAACAACTATAGCAACTGGTGGCATTATTACCAGGTGACCAGAGCGACAATAAACCTTCGATGCAACAAAAGCTTATGTCTCCAAGGACAAGAGTGGCATATTCGTCGTAAGCACAACAACTACAGTGACCGGTGGCAATATTACCAAGTAACCAAAGCGACAATCAACCTTGGAAGTTCAAAGCAACAAAAGCTTATACCTTACCTCTAAGGACACGAGTGACATATTCATCGTAAGCACAACAATGACAACAAGTAACCAGAGCGCCAATCAACCTTCAAAGCAATGGAAGCTTATACCTCGGCCGACCAGTAGTAATCCACACAAGAAGGTTGGCCATGGTAAGAGGTACATACAGCAACTGCGCAATGATTTAAAAAAGATGCCGACTCTATTAAACTCAAACGTCACCACAAAATAGTAAATACAACCAGAAATGTAGATACCAAGTTTTTAGAAGCAAACCATAACAAGCACAGAAATGCCTCCTTAAAGCCGAAGAAGAAACTGTCCCAAAAGTGATCAAACACTCAACAACAACAAAAAAAGCTTACCCCACTTATTCTTTCTGTTTCTTTCATTTTCCAAAACCTAAATGTTAATCGCAGGGAGAAAAGAGGGAAACAACCGAAGCCCTAAAAACAGCTAAACGCCCTGAGACCAAGCCGAAGGACCTGACCTTTCAGCTGCTCAGTACTTGTAGTCCTTGACGTGGAGGCTCTCCGAAGCTCCCTCAGCAGGGGTGGCATCGCCCTTGTACTTCCCGAGCACTGCCTCGGAGTTGGCCTTGGCCCTGGTGAGCAAAGCATCCTGAGCCTTCTTCCAGTTCTCCTCCTTGCCACCCCAAGCCTTGAGGGTGCTTTGCTGGAGGGCACGGCCGAAAGAGAAGGACAGGGTCCATGGCTTCTTGGTCTGGAGCTTGTTCATTGCGTTGAGGTTGACAGTGGCTTCCTCCTCGCTCTGTCCACCGGACAGGAACACAACAGCAGGGACTGCAGCAGGCATGGTCCTCTGAAGGGCACGGACAGTGTACTCAGCAATCACCTCGGGTGACACCTTCTTGGAGTCGGATCCAGGGGTCACCATGTTTGGCTTCAGGAGGGTTCCCTCGAGGAAGACCTTGTGGTCGTTGAGGGCCTTGTAGCAGGCAGCAATGACACGTTCGGTGACATCGGCGCACCTGTCGATATCATGGGGGCCGTCGACAAGGATCTCGGGCTCGACAATGGGCACCAGGCCGTTCTCCTGGCAGATGATGGCATACCGGGCAAGGCCATTGGCGTTCTCATTGATGGCCAGCTGGGATGGCTCATTGGGGCCGATCTTGAGGACAGCACGCCACTTGGCGAATCTGGCACCAGCCTCGTAGTACTTGGCGCATCTCGCAGCAAGGCCGTCAAGCCCTTGGGTGGTGGTCTCACCGTTGGTTCCAGCAAGCTCCACAGTGCCCTTGTCGACCTTGATACCGGGGAGGACTCCAGCTTCCTTCATGACATCAACGAAGGGCTTCCCTGTAAACAAAACGGCACAACATAAGATACAATTCAGTACACAGACAAGCAAATAAACACTCCATACATCCTAGCTCAATAAGAGCCTGAAGTCTCAAGCTAGGAACAAAATGTATACCTGACTTGGTCTTCTGGTAGAGGGTCTCCTCGAAGAGGATAATGCCACTTAGGTACTGGAGAACACCGGGGGCAGTGAAGAGGAGCTCACGGAGAGCACGCCTGTTCTCCTCAACATTCTCAACGTTGATGCTGGAGAGACGCTTGCCGATGGTGCCGGTGGACTCATCAGCAGCGAGAATTCCCTTTCCGGGAGTGCCAATGTAGGCAGCATTGCGAGCAAGCTCATCTGTATCCAATACAAACGCAGACAACCCAATCAGACATAAGAGATTCACCTCCCAATCAAGTAGAAACAGAAATCAATCAATCTAACAGCCATGAAGTAGCAACTAAATTGACAGCGCTTCAACCACCAACAAGAATCTAGAAACGACTAGCAATCTCAGACTGCTGAAATCAAATCACAGAATCACAAGCTTCTCAGAGCCACGAGCTAATACAAAAGAGGCGTAGCACTGTAGCAGTGATTCGAAAGAACAATTACGCCAATTACAATTGACCAGAAGACTTGGTAAAATCGTAGTACAACAGAAATACACGGATCTGAGACCTACATGCATCCAAATCAACAAACTCCGAGTGGCTCAAAACACAGATCTATAGATCACGGAACAGCAAAAGCAAAATCACACTCGGAAACACATCACAAGAGGCATCGATATTGCAAGATACAGTTGCAGATAGCAGCAGAGCGAATCAGAAAACTAATGATTTCATATATGGAATTCAATCGATTCCTACCAAGCAAAACGAACAGAGAAAGCCAGATCTAAACGAAATTCTCAGCGGAAGATCGGAAGAACAAGCCATACGAGATCGGACGAGCATGCGTAAGAGGTACCGATAAGCAGGAGATAGAGGAGGAAGGAGGGCGAGAGTTACCGGCGTATTTGCCCTTGTAGCAAGACATGGTGAGGCGACGGAGAGGATTAGGTGCTGAAGAGGAGAGGATTGAGCGAGATCGGAAACTGTGGGAAAGACGAGGTGGGGGAAAACGGTGAAGGGGTTAGGGGTTTATATATTGGGGAGCGGGGGGAGAAAGGTGGGTGAGGGAAGGGCATCGAAATTGTCGCTGTTTCGCGTTTTTTCTTTGGCTTTTTGCTCACGGTAAAAAAAATTAAACTTCCTCTCTGTGCTCTCTGACTTGGAGAATACGTCGCTCCTCCTCTTGTGTTTAATTCCTCCCTCTTAATTTTTTTTTTTTATTACTGGTTTACCCTGATTTATTGATTTTTGCCCGTGCTGCGTAATGCCTATTGCGCTGTATATCGCTCATCAGTTCGACCTCGCTCGATAGTCTTAACTTTTAAACGACTGAATTACAATATACATTATGAAAAATTGTGATCCGTCATTTGTTTTGATCCTTGATCACATATCTTTCTTTGTCATTTGAGACTTAATCTATTTAGAATTACGACTTACGATAAGATTGATCATACTTGGTTCACCCACTGGTTTGAGAAGGAGAGGGGTAGAATTGGAAAGCAAGACCAGTAACGGACCGTGAGCTTCTAGGAGTTTCCAAAACGGTAAAACCAAAACCAGCTGCCGTGAAAACGTGGGCCAGAATGGTCATGAAGCTCGTGCGCCGTGACTAGAAAGAAACGACGAGAAGATAAAAGTGTCCCAGGCTTCCACCTAATGATGACAGGGCAGGGACAAGATCGGCTTTTCGTATTTCCCTTTTTTCTTTTTCTCTCTTTTGAGTCTTCTTGTTGGTATTGGAAAGTGACTTGTACTGCTACTGGATTGGATTTATCTTTTATGGGAAAAGGCCAATGGGCCGCCAACTGCTCGATCGGCATGTCACTTATCAGCCCGTTCATCAGTTCATGTTCCACACCTCACATTATCACCATAACATTGTAATTTATGCCCCTACCAAATTGAGGCTAAACTTGACGAGAAGAATGTGTCAAGGAATTTAAGACATGGCCAGACTCAATGTGTAAGTTGTCAAATGGTCCTAGCACTTGTCCTTTCGAGTTAAGCTTTAGTTTATAAGTATCGTGATCGATATGCTCGTCTCACAAGTCTCGTTCGTTTAAATAGAGTTGAAGTAAAAAAAACCCAACACCTCATCTTATTTGTATACATAACAACTAATCATGGATTGCAAAGGCATTTGAAAATTATAGAACCAATGACCACGGGTATATGTGACACTGGAGGAGAAAATGGCTGGCCGCATGCCAAATGACGTACTTTCGCCAATCATGCGTGCTACTAATTGGGCATATTTATATACATTGCTTGTAATCACTTTGATATTTCTTAATTTTTTTGGCATCTACAAGAGACATACAGCATGCCAGTTTTCAGTTTCTCCATGTCCAAATTATAGTATGATAAATTGAAAAATATGGTTATGATACGATGGATCAACTTTTTAATCACTCTTTCAGCCACAACAAATCTTACGTCATACTTCACATTTGCTTCGTTAACTCTTATGAGCATGAAAGTTTGTACATGTCTTAGTATCATGGACTTACAATATCATTATTTTGATCGTAAGATCATATGAGTGCAGAGGATCACCCTGTAAAAATGTTTGAAATCGAAGATAACCCCTTTTGAATAAAGAAGACTCTGAAATCGTATTAAGAACTAAATCAATTGGTACCAACACAATTCGAATTGTTGAGAAAGATCCATATCTTATAAATAAGTCTAAAAGCACGGATTAGGTAGAAAATAGAAATTAACGGCCTGCCTGCAATCTGATGCTCCTCTCAAGAAAGGATATTCCACGAACCCATTATTCCAGATCCCATTACTCTTCGTTGCAACTTGCAACGGTACATGAATTAAAAAAAAACTACATATATAACAAAATTCTAACGGCAACATGACTTTGGGTGGCTCAATTATTTGTATACATACACCAGTTCCAATATTTTATTTCAACAGTTATTAAATCACCGCCACCGAGCTGGGTAGTGTGTATGATCCACGAAAGCCCAACTAAAGAGAATCCGGTCCATTTACTGTTCGATCCTTAACAGCGGCCCAATTTGTCACACCCACAAAAGATGATGTTGGTATTGGGCCCTTGACCAAAGGAAGTCTATACGGGCTTCGTAGGCCCTAGGATATTCCTTCTTTTGTTCGTATGAGACAGCAGTGACTAGTGAGCAATCGATAGAGAGCAACGGGATGCTAGCGCTCTGATCCTAGTATTCCTCGCTTCAATATATTTAGGAAGCTTTGGCATCCGGACGTATTACGATAGATAGACGAGATGGGATTTGATATCGGATGGTTATTATTCATCAAGTGGATCCTTTGCCTCTTACCTCAGCAGCTGGGCCCGGAAGGCGGTAACCGGCTTTGGTGAAAACACAATGGTTGGAGAACCGGATTAAAAAGATTGTACCATCTTAGACCATCAATATCACATAGCCAAACAGAACAATGCAAATTGTAGGGCAGTCATGTCTTGCATATCCTGAATCTGTTAGGGATAAACATTGTTTTCCCAGACTGTTGATGGGTAGAGATGTAGACCTAGTTGTGCTAATGAAGGGTCCAAATCAAAGATTTATCAACTTGATCCATGAAAAGGACTCAATTTTGACAAAGTTTACATATATATATATATAGTTTCTACGTTTTCGAGCTGTTGAGATATTTGTGAGGGTTATCTAATTTTTGGATATGAAAGAAAATGATTTTATTATGTGTATTCATTTTTTTAAGGGATAACTAAATAATGAGAGGATTATGTGCTAAACACACTCTTATATTCTGCATATTTTAACAAGCACATCCCTCTGCTTCCATTCTCAACTTACACCCCATCCTACAATTAGAATCTTAACAAACAAGCCTCTAAAGTTTAAATCATGTTTTCCATCAAAAATTTTGTTAGTTATTGTAACGGACTCGACAATTAATTAGGAAACTTGTCAAATTTGTTCCTTCTTTAATCTTTATGCACCACCATAGCCATAGGGGGGTCGGATTATAGACCCTCCCCCATCAACAAATGAATTCTTTGATGAAAAATGTTGTGATGAGGAAAATAGGCAAAATAGAAGGGCGTTTTTAGGATATACCCTAATTAAAAGAATAAGAAAAAAATACTTCATAGATATTCACTTATAAAAAAATTCAACATTTAACTTGAAAATGACTGGGATCAATCGCATATGGACTATGAGGTACAATAGGAAAGTGTCCACAAATTAAAGGACCTTTTTCTTTTGTTCTAGTTATTTTTTCAGAAATTGGTAAAATCGAATGAGCTGAGGCATAGGACTTTGAAGTCAATGTTTACATATCTCCTTCTTGTCGTTTGGGTTAATGTGTTGGGACTTTGAAGTTATACAGTTTTTTTTATTAGGGGTTGTTTGGATGAAGTATTTATATGAGTTATTTGGGTTCAAATAATTGAGTTATTTGGACACAAATAACTCGTTTGACAACATTTTACTGAAATGAGTTATTTGGACAGTGATTTATTTGACTCTACTTTTACCAAATATCACATGTCAAATACCACATTTGCATGGTTCAACCAAACGGAGATACTGTATTTTAATTACCACTGAAATACTACATGAACAATAAAAGAGTTATTTGACTCTACAAATACCACATTGACAATTAACCCATCCAAACGACCCATAAAGAGTTTCTTCTTCATTTTTTTATGACACTCTACAATTTCGGTTCGCTTCATCCTTCTCCTCGTGTAAATTGGTTCTGTTTGAACCTAACTGAGTGTAGGAGTGAGATTCACGTACAAGGGGGTCGAGGAGAATGAGCAACAGGAATCAGTTCAAGACTTTGGAGGGAAAGAAGGAAAGAGTTGAGAGAGTCTTTTAGAGAGAGAAGTGTATTGTTTTCTTAGAGATAGAGTTTCCAAAATCCGATCTCCTCACCCACCGGAGTAAATGCCCTATTTATAGGCTACATGGTGGTGGGTGAGTTACATGGTGATATGACCACTGACATGTCAGAAGTCTAGACCATACCTCTACCTAGGACAAGTACATTTAGCATTTTATTATACCTAGGACTAGGACTGTGATGTGACCACTCGATGGGTGAGACGCGGCGTCGTTTTCCACACTCGCTAACTTGGTCAACGCTGGACTCGAACATCGTCGTTCGGTGCTCGGGCTGTCTTTGGTCGTGTCGGTGCTGGTGCGCTCGTCGGTGTGTCTTTCTGGTCGCGCCGGCGCTAACGCGCCCCACTACTTTGATGTCAGTGTTTCTTTGGCGCGGCGGGATCCGAGTCACATGCCCAACAGGTTCCTTTCTTGTTGAGTGAGTGATTCATATTCTGAAACCTATATACAAGTTTTCATATCGGTTCTGACATCTAGTACAATCGATAATGACTGCAATATCACTATTGTCTCTATAAAATAAAGTATAATCTTTACTATTACTTGTAATTAGATAATGTTGCTATATATGGACTCTCGTGTTCTTTTTAGGGATATATGGACTCTCGTGTTGATTCAACAATATACATTATCTCGTATTAAAAAATACCATTAATTCCATATTTGATGAATTATGTATAATGCACTAAGTCATCTATTGTATTTGTATACCTTACCAACAACGGTTAATTTAACATAAATATTAAGAATAATAAATGTCGATTATGAATACACTACAAAATAAATCACATTTTCTAACGTGTTGTTAGTTGACTTGCTCTTACCTAAATAAAATTGAAACGATTAATTTGTAATTATGAAATTTCGCAATTGACTCTTCATGCAGTGCACAATTTATTTAATTTATAAAAATCAAGATGAATTAATAGCTGCTGTTCCTTTCCCCCCCTCCAGCGGCTGTCCCCTCGTCTTTCTTCATCCCATGTGTTGACAGAAACAAACGAAAGAACATAAAACTAACACAAGATAATCTATTACGGTACATATCTGATATTTCTTTGCAATTGACATTTGTAGTCCAAGTATTTTTCTTGTTTCGACAAACAAGTCCTTATATTATGAATGTCGGAACAAATATGTTTGTGTGGGCAGTAAGTTGTTCATCTACATTTAGTCACTTGGGTCATCTTTTGTGCAAGTCCCTTACGAGTGAGATCGACATGCTTAGTTAACAAGTTCATGATGACACGATTTTTAGTAAGAAATTTTAGAACTCGTTTGGAAGTTGTGATTGTTAGAGTTGTGTTTGTTGAATACATGTATTGTGCACAATACAATGTTTGGAAGTGTCAAAGTGTTAAACAATGCATGCATTGTTTAAAGTAGGTCCCACCAACAATCACAAAAAATGATGCATTATACAATCTCAACTAAAAGTTGAGATTGTTGGTTTTAGACTTGTGTCAATTTTTTCTTTCCATTTATATTCCCAATAGTTTTTTGTCTTATTCTAAAAGTTGAGGGCAAATGTGACATTTCTCCATAAAAGTAACTTTATGTAAATCAATGCATAAAGTAGAATCTCAACAACCAAACAATGTATTGTTAAAATGCATCCATTGTATCAATACATGCATTTATATTATAGTGATTCATTACAATGCAACGATTTAACATTCGCAACTTCCAAACGACCCCTTAAAAAAAACCCCAGAAATGGAACAAAGGGAAGAAGAAGATATCGAAATAGAACCAAAGTACAAAACGAGGGAAACTAAAGAGGAAGAGGAGGGGGACTCTTCCCTTTTTTCCGAAGAAAGAGAGGATCCCGACGAAACTGCGGAAATAGAAGATGTGTTTGCTAAATTTCCTATATGTCGAAATCACTTGCTCTGCATTTTATTTAACTTGTAATCATCGATTCTACATTTGTGATATGAGATTTTAATGGATAGGGTTCATTGGCAAATTGCTAACATTCACAGTTTTAGTATATAGATAGCACGTCAGTCGTCAATGGTGTGCTTATCAAGTGTGAATCGAACTCACTAGTAAAAGAGTTGGTTGGAAATTTAAAAGAAAGACATGCAATCTCTGAAAAAGCTGAAACAAACCATTGAGAGATGTATTTGTTGATGTTCATATTACATACTTATTTTGTTTATTAAAACAACGCAATACAATGGCTACATATAACGCTCAATTAAAGAATTCAGCGAAAAAATTTCTCATTCACACACCACCTCTTTCAATAAGTACGTTTCTCTTTCAGCCATCAATGTCACATTCCTGGCTTGCCTTCTTGTTTCCCTCTATTACCCATACCAACAATTTCGTTGTGTAGAACCCATATCCAAAGTTAAGACACACAACTAGAAACCACCCCACCAACGAAAGCAACCAAACCAAGAAACCAAATAGATATAAGATATCCTACTTGATCAGTCTCTCAAAGTCTAAATTTACAAATGCAACTATATATTGGACAAATCAACGTCTTGTATTGTGCATAGCCATATTAAGAAAAAAAATAAAAGATATTTCATTCTCACAAATTTATAATACAATATTACGCGAACTGGTAGATTACATCCCGCTAAATTAAGGATTTAGTATCTAACATTCACGAAGAAAAATACACTTGATAATCAATCTTGTACTTAATTCACGCAAACGTCAAAATACTCAATCACCAAACAAATTTCCACTCTAATCGAAATCTATGTACTTGATAGATCTTTCACATGTTAACTTAGTGGAAACAAAATATATCTACCATGCTCAACCAATTTCATTCAAACACTCGAATTTCGCGAGCAAAAAACCAAAAATTTTATGCTCAATTTTATCATACTTAGATTCGAGTTAAATCGTTATTAGAAAAATGGAAGAACCCCATAAGATCAACCTGGCTTCTTACATGCACAAATCAAGAGGGAGAATTCAGCTCTCTCAGGATCCTTCTTCTGCTCAAGAATCTTCTCATCCAGCCACAGCCTACTATCCAATCCGCTTCTCGTCCTGAACAGAAAAACCGCCGCACCCCTAGTCGCCGCCGCCGTATATCCTCCTCCTCTTCCGCCGCCGTCTTCTTCTTTTTCTCCTTCCCATGTTTCCTTGAAAGACCAGTCGTGCAAATCCCACATCACGTCCACGACAATCCCGTCCAGGAAAATCGTCTGGTTCCCGCGGAAATTCCACCTCAACCTCCTCACCTGAAAAACCCGCCGGCCGTCGATCCAGACCGACATCCCCGCCGCCGACCGATCACCCCCGGACCCGAAATTGATCATCACGTCGTGCATTTCCCCCACCCTGCTGAACTGCGCCCGGGTCGAATACGAACCATGACCCGACCCGCCGGAAACGAATTTCTCGATCCGGGAAACAGGGGAGAGCTCCGCCGCCAGTCGAATCTTCTCCCCGTTGACTCCTAATTTTGGGAACCCAATTTCGCCTTCCTCGTCCTCGATCTCCTCGACGTCCCCGAGGAACAACCCGGGCTCCGAATCGACCAATACGACGACGTAGAACCCGCTGACCGGTTCAGGCCCTGTTTCGTAGAAAGCAGGGGAGAGGTTCCAGAGCAGCTCGATTCTCGAACCGCAGGCTTCGAATTCGTTGCTCCCTTTCGGTTTCCGCAATTGGTGGAAAGAATTCGCCGGCGAATGACAAGCAGAGGATTTGATTTTGTCCGTTACAGAGACGGAGAATCCCCTGCCTCCCCTGCCGCAGCCGGACCAACTGACGGTGACGAAAATCGGCGAGGAGGTGTTTCTGATTATTTTGTAAGTGGAAGTGACGGAGCTCGGCGCCGGGCGGATCGGGTGATGGGGAATGCTGGTCCGGCTCGACGCCGGGCCGGAGCAGTACGAGTCGGAGACTTTGGTGGCGTGTTCGCTGTAACACGTGGCGATGCTCCTCATGGTTTCGGGGTGCAGGGGAGAGAAAAAAAAAACAGAGTGTGGAGAATTGGAGAGAAAGAAAGGGACTTTGGAAAGGGTTTGGAGGTGACAAAAGGGGGAAGGGGAAGGAGGAGGAAGGGATGGCAAAAGGGTTACTAGCGATGTATGAATCTGGATTTCCAACTATGTGGAAATGCCGTTTCCATTTCCTGTTAGAGGGAGAACGAAAATGGAAGGAACATTAGAGCTTCTATGGGATGGATGTTGTTTTATAGAGATTCTTTTGTTCTTTTGGGGGGGCAAAGGATGGGGTTTTATTAGATGGTGTTTGGTTGATGTTTGAACCTAGAGGGTGGGTGAACCGTGGTTTGGTCGGGTTCGGTTTGAAATAGATATAGGATCTCATGAAAAATGATGATGAACAAGAAGGAGAAGAATAGCATTGGATTAGTGGTAACCAGTAAGGATATATATCATAATAAAAAGCCAAACCATGATATGTATTAAATTGATCGTTTCGATTCGAATATCAATTTAGTCAGATTTAATTATATTGCAATCCAAATTGTATTAAGTTTTTTATGGTTGATAAACGGTCGTCCTGTTAGCGTGTATATAAGTGTTGGGTCTCTTATTCTTGTCTGCTTCTTTGAACGAATTTGACGGTAGAATGATGTTATTGTGTACTAGTGTTGAATTGAGTTTACTATGAATTGATATCTATGTTAAATTATTTTATATTCCATATTAACAACATAAAAAAGAACACATACGTATGTAGGACAAAATTATGCAAAAATGCACGATTGTAAAAAGGAGGAAGCCTTATGTTGGTTAGATTATCAATCGATTATTTTGGTATAACCTTGTCGAATGACTTGCTTAACGGTTATTCGATTAACCAACAAAATAACCTAGAACCCACTATATAGTTGCAGTTAACTGACTAACATAAAGAGAATGATTAATGGTAAACACAAGTGATTAATCCAGAACCGACTGAACGATTCCTATTATAACCGAACCGAATCAATTGCCAACCTAAAGTTATCTACTAATAACTAGGTATTATTTAATCGCTCGTTATCATTAGACCGAAACCCTAAAATTGGCTCATTTCACATTAATTTCACCGTGGTATTGCCCGAAGAGGGAAATTTCGAAGATGGTTTCCCCTAATTAATGATCATCAATGAGTTAAACAGTTTGACTTCACGAGGGGAATTAATGGATTATGAAACCGTCAATTTGGGTTTATTAATTTGATTAATTAATCTTCCATGTAGGCTTCATGTGGGATTTGATTCTTTTCCCTTTATTTTAATCCTATAGTATTAGGTAGGGCTGTTAATGAACCAAGCCGCTCATGAACGGGTCGGTGTGCGATTCGAGGAAAACTCGTTTTATACTCGATTCATTTTAATCGAGCCGAACTCGAGCCATACCATGTTCAGCTCGAAAGCTCGCGAACAAGCTCATTTAATGGTTTGGCATAAAAAAAGAATTAGAATTCATGGATTTTATGTATTGAAATTGGGATAAATATTGTGTTTTACTTTGCTACAGATTTAAATGTAATTTTATGCGTAGTTCTAGGTCAATCTTGAGCTATCATGAACATTTTATGAGCTGAACTTGATTTTGGGCTCGTTAAGCTTATTTGACGAGCCGAGCTCGAGCCGAGCTCGAGCTTTTATTTTCGTAAACGAGCCGAGCTCGAGCTTGCATATTAAAGCTCGTGACGAACACGAGCCGAGCTCGAGCCTGAAAATATATTAACGAGCCGAGCCCGAACTATGGCAAAGCTCGGCTCGACTCGGCTCATTAACCGCCCTAGTATTAGGGATCTTAAATTGGCTTAACGCCATTTTAATGAGGGAAAGAAACAACAAGAATGGAGGCGTCTCATTTCTGCCGACTAATTTTCATATCTAACAATCAACATCATCTTTCTTTCTTGGTTGGGCATGACATCATAGGTAAAAAGGCTTACTCCAAATAAAAGAAAATTATGAGTTAGCGTAATTTAATGGTACATAATTTTTTTTCAATATAAATTTGAGTCATTTAAATTTTGTCAATAATTGGGTTTGACTAGAGTTAGACTAACGGAGCTACAATATTACAAATGTTAAAAAGTTATAGGATGGTAGGCTATTAGGGTCGCACGTAATGTAGAATTCATGTATTTTAAGAATTCATGTATACTGTAGGTTGAGTTGTGAGAACTTGTGTAATATTAGAATGCATTGTTTGACTTGCATGAGTTCATGGTAGAACTCACATAATTTGGCATGAAATCTCAAATACTTTGGGTAAACCCAAAGCATTTGAGATATCATGGTCACATGAATTCTAGAATTACATGGTGCACCAATATCATGATATTTGTCCAAAAATAAAATAAGAAAAACAGTGGAATCTCATATATCAAATAATCTTGAAATCCGTGGGTGGATTAAATGCTTACCCAAAACATTTGAAGCATTTGAGATATCATGGTGCACCATCCTGTAACTTTTTAACATTTGTAATATTGTAGCTCCGTTAGTCTAACTTTAGTCAAACACAATTATTGACAAAATTTAAATTACTCAAATTTATATTGAAAAAAAAATTGTGTACCATTAACTTACGCTAACTCATAACTCTAGCCAAACCCAATTTTCTTTCTTGGTCTTTTTGCAAGACCCTAGTCCAATCTCAAGAAATACAATGACCTATCTTTTAAAACAATACAAACTTCGAACTTACTGAACTATCTTTCATTTGCGTGAACATGTAAGAAAATTTACATAATAAATTTCTCCTTAGAGCGCGTTTTTTCATAACTCAACTAACTAAGTGCGAAACAAGGCTAACCTAGCAGGTTGAGCATCTCAAGCAAGGTCCTGAATTTAATCCCTAGCGATGATCCATGGAGTACCACCTGCCAATGTAAGACAGCCTAGCGGTGCCGCCAGGACTAGGTCGCCCCAGGATGTCTTGGTTTCAATGCCCCTCAAAACCTCGTGTGGTGTTTCTGGAGGCGTCTGACTGATGGGTGCTAAGCCCAATTGCAGCATAAAATTGCAACCGATAGCCCCCAAATTTGGTCCGCTCCACCAATACAAACGTGTTGTGTGCGTGGGAATGAGAATGTTTCTGGGTAATTAAAAAAAAAAAAACTCAACTAACTAAAAACTGAGCTTTGTTCATGTTCCATGAAACGACCCAAACAACGAGAGTCAGTTGAATTTGAGATTACACAAACAAATTTCAAAGTTTTATAATGAAGACATGTTATAGGTTATTGAAAGTACGTCATGGTCGACCATTGGAGAAAACGGGCATTGAAAGAGAGGATGGAAGGGCTAAGGAATGGATTGGAGAGAGTGGGTGGGGATGAAATGTCTTTGGGGAGCTTTGTACATGGTGGGCTTATAGACCAATTGAGAAGGGCAAATGGAAGTTATATTTTATTTGGACCACAACGAATTAAAAGTTGTGATTTGAGATTCACCTACTCCTTCAACGGCAAAGACAATCCTCCCATAAAACTTCCCTTCGGATATTCTTTTCATTCTAAATCCAACAAAACATTTATTTTCAATTGGAAGTCGCCGGCCACCAATTTTAGTTTGAATAACTCATGAAAACACATACCATTCTCTACATATACTACACTCGAAATGAAAGATTAATCAACGGAGTTGAAGTTTGCAGTGATAAGCACTTCTTATATGAAATTATCAGGTTGTTTGGGATGAGACCAATAGATTATATAATGATCTAATATTAGGCATACTCATGAAAGTTAATCAAACAATTTGAAACTTGAATACAATCATCGTATCACGTGTTTAAATTAGCATTTCTTATGTGGTGGGATAGCTAGGAGTCTGAGATGAACCTTTTAGATTATACAATGAGATAAGCATATTCTGGAAGGTTAATCAACGAATTTGAAGCTTGCATACGATTATCATATCACAGGTTTAAATTTGCATTTCTTATGTGGGATTGCCACTAGTATGGGATGAAATGAAACCTTTAGATTTATTAATTCAATAGTCTACGCTTAAGCATGCCCCATAAGATTAATCGACGAACGTTTAAAGTTTCCATACGATTATCATATTCCGTGTTTAAGATGCATTTTTATATGGAATTATCAGGAGTATGAGATTAAAACTTTAGATCATGCAAGGCCCCATCTTATGCATATAGAATAGTGGAGTCTTATCTTTGGAAAGGGCAGAATTATCAAAGAAACTAAACAAATCAAGTAATCATGCATTGAACACATGAGGTATTAAAAGATAGTCACGCATCCTCCTAATAATAATAAGTACTCATAATTGCGCACTTTTCCACTTTGTTTTTTCATTTCCCTTTTATGTTAGTTAACACTCACATCGCGGGAAATTAAAATAAAATATTATTGCAAGTTCCATTAAGAACCCTAAAAAGATAATAACTGAGAAAACCATAAACCTTTTATTGAGTAGAAAGGTCTTATACTTATAACTAGTTTTTAACTATATAAGCCGATATGATATAATTGCAGCATCTAAAAAGGAGTATCGGCTTCCTTTTCCGTGTGGTTAACATTGAGAAGAAGAGAGAAAAAAAAAGAGAGGGATTTAAATAAACAAGTATTGAAATTTTGAATGGGACATGTCAACCAACCGGTTTTTTTAGATTATAGGACAAATAGAAGAGGCATATATAAAATTAAGACTCAAGACATTTAAATAGATCTATCTATTTCCCTTGGATAATGTACAACACAAGTAAGATATTGTTGCATACTATAAATCATGCCCATTTGTTTAGGGAAACATGATGCAAAATTATATATTAATACGAATTCAGAGTAGTAACCAACATCAAGCACCCACGATCAACAACCAAATTGGTTTGGATTCTAGATAAACTCGTTGGTATTGAAGTTCTTGCTAAGTCTCTTTACATTTGAAAATGTTGTATTAAGCTTTGCAGGAAAATGTATGCCCTCAAGATTAAATATGTTATGTACTGTTGATTGTGAACTAAACGTGACAATGAATCTGTTAAGAAAGGTGATTCTCAAATCTTCCTTCTAATATTTCTTAATTTCCTCGTCGTAATCCATCTCAAATTCTGACGATTCTCGGCAGGAAAATAGACGACAAACCCACCATCATTACCAAGCAGAAGGAAGAAGAAGAAAAAGATAAACAACATGAATGGCCAACTCTGCTAAGCTTAATATAGAAAGCCCCCCCGCTTCCTCTAAAAGGAAAACAGAGTACTCTGTTTTCGCCATGAACACTGACCTCTGAGCCTCTGTTATCATATATAATTACCATCCGGCCCACCATTTTTCATACTCATTCATCTGAAAACAACAAAACCTTCTGAAAGAAACTGTTTCATCACACAACGAGGCAGCATTAATCAATGCCTTGAAACAGTCATATGATGTTCTTTTCCCCTGAAGCATATGTGAGCATGATAGTTTCAAGCTTTCTCTGAGATGGAGAGGGACAGATCGACACCACTTTCCTGGAAACTGGAAGGAAACGTACGATCCCAGGAATCTGGAAAATTAGCGACAATGGATGATTCGTTTCTTGTCACTGAAATGGGAAATGAGGACAGGTATTCATTCTTTTTCCTGGGTGGAAAGGGTTTACTTACCATACCTTCACTGGGGCTCTGGTGTGTTAGGCTGACGAAGAAAGCAACAGATATCAAAGGGTAATATAACCTGCCGAAAGCCGAAAGGGAAGTATGAAGGGGAAGGTGTTGTCACATGTACGTAATAGAACCTCTACATCATGGAAATAGTGCAAGGAAATGGATATAATTTTTTGGGTATTTTTTTTCCTACAATTTGGACTAATAATATATATCGATTTTCAACATTAAATCGGAGCTTTGAGTAGGTGATGTCATCGATGCTCACATATTCCAGTAACATAAAAAAAAAATCGGTATGGTACAACACCCTCAATATGTGCTTCTAGTTCGAAGTGATTAGACAACACGATTGGAAAAGTGAACTTGCAGCTAGCGGATTATTTGGTTAATCGCGGTTATTCTCTTGGATTTGGTTCTCATCTTATTGATTGTGACGGTTCGGGATTAAGGTACTTGATTTTAAGTCCAAGTTCTAATGAGTTTGTACAAACTTCAAATCCATTAGTTGGATTTTTGGGTTATGAACGATATAAGATCTAGGGCCAGGTGTATAAATAAACTAAAATAAAATAAACCTAGAGGATGTGAAAGAAAGAAGGAGCAGAGCATCATTAATGGCGGTAATGAGGGAGTCAGCTGCTACCCAGCTTGCTCCGCTCTTCCATTTCGCCTCCGCGAGGGCTGTATCATTCGTTGGCAGGCGGAGGAGAACGTGGTGTTTTTTTTTTCCTTCACTTTTCACAGTAGTACTCCATCATTTAAATTTTAAAGCTCGACAATCTGTAGCTAAAAAAATATGAATAAATATTACAAATAAAGGATATCCTGCAGCAGGAAACTAATTATTAATCTCCATTAATTATGATTTATGAACATGCATATGCGGGAAGTGGAAATGGAAGTTCCAATAGATACTGTCTGCGGGATCGTTGGTTTTGGTGAACTGGACTACTTAATTCACATGTAGCTTTGACCCAAAAATTATCAATATCAAGATATCTAGGTCTGAATTTCTATGTTGTTTAGCAATTTTAGAACGACATTTAGCATTCCAGCTTTTAGGTCGGCAAGATTCAAACACAAAATCTCTCCGTCAACCATTTTCAGTTAAACCCTCCCCAATTCCATTTTCAATTAATTATTATTGCCTAATTTACTCATTTTCCTCCCGCGAAACCCACCATGTTTTACTCTCTTCCCACTTGATTAAGTGATTGCTTCTTTATCTTCTTCTCGCATGGTTAATATCATCCCACTACCTACTACATGAATGGCGGTCGACAATACGCATAGTTACGTATGATACCATAGCTGAAGTTTCGTTGGTATGATTCTAATGCAGATGGGTGAAGTAAAATGGCAGCCACCCTTTACGTAAAGCTAGATAACCTAATTTCACGCAAAGGCAATGCGCAGAAAGGGCATATCATGCTTTTGCATTGCATGGGACCAAATTAAGTAGTACGTGAAAAGCTATATAGGCGCTGCTGCTGCTTTTGGATCGTGCCAGAAGAAAGCTGCCTGTTGTGGATCAAAGCGGTCGTCGTCGTCACGCTCATGCATGCGCCATTGAGCCCTCCAAATGACTTGACGTGCATCGGCAGCAATAATAAGAGCACTAGACTGTAGACGACGTCAGTTTATGTGCGAGCCAAGCCATGCCATCGTGTTGCATGCTTGCTTACTCATGACATCGTCCAATAAATCGCGGAGGCTTTGTTTTCGAATAGGGATATGTAGTTCATATTTTTGTTAATAGTATAACAAAAATGAAATGGATCTGATTAACCATTAAAAATTATGAATGTATTGTTCCATAGATAGCGCAAGATAACAAAAGGTAACCTTATAGCATACTACGTAATCAATAGAGACAGTCGATAAATAGTCGAACTACAGACGAGAGAGGGCATCGTTTCGCCACTAAATGGGCTGCCTGCCTTATTAAACTGACTTGGGTATAAGTACAAGAAAAGAAAGCAAAAGACAAAGAAAGTTGGCAAACTTCCTCCAACTCCAAGAGAGCTCCCCCAGATCATGCTCAACTCCGTACGCCCCCCACTATTCGAACAAGAGTTTGAACAATTCCCACAAAACTAACTATGTTATTTGATTATAACATCGTTATTTACAGATTTATCTCTTTTCAGCATTGTTTGAGATAAAATTATATATTAGCTCTTTAATTTCGTTATCTTCTACGAGATCAATTTAAGTCGTTGTTGTACCTAATTCACTAAATTTCTTGTGTCCCTTTTTCAACACAAATAGAAATTTTCAGCACACAAATTGGAATTTGACAATCATACACCAAAGTACAACATGGATTAACTAACAGACCGAGGTGAAAGCCTCGTAAAATTTGAAGGTCGTGTGTTGGAGGCAGTGGCGGAGGAAGGTAAGGAGGAGAGGGGTCCTAGGATCCCACTTGGCAAATAATTGGGTAACAAAACCCTTTAAATACATGTGTTTTACTTTTTAGTACGATAATTCAAGTTTAGGACCCCATACTCTCAACGATGTTGGCTCACCAAGGACCCCGGTTAACTCAAAATTCAATAGATACACAAACATTTATGTTAATAAAATTTTAAGAACCCCAGTGGACTTGATGTCTGGCTACCTAACTTGTGTTGGAGGACCTTCCAACACATCATCTAGGGGCCAAGCCTTCTTGTACGGTCTACCTAACTCTCTCTCTCTCTCTCTTACTCTTTGTCCGTTCCTCACACTTTTTGGGATGCTTCGCGATATATTGGGCTAGGCCGACAAAAGCCCCCTAATGATGTTAAATGCGATGTCGCTTCAAGAGCCCACAAATTACTAGGCTTTTGTCATCCTCCGGCCCATCAGAGTAATTGGGCATTGTGTATGCAATTCTTCGATCTAATTATGAACAAATGGAGCTCTCGTTGAATAATCCTCGACATGCATGTAGTAACAAAATGTTCTTTATACGAAAATGTGACAAATGTGATTGAAAATTACTGTTTTTGGGTTTTAAATTTTCCTATCTAGAAACAAAGCATTATTCTGAATTCTGATAACTTTATTTAATTGATAGTGATACAAGTACGCCGTAGTATAATATATATATTTATTGGATTCATGTGACACATCACATTATGTAAGGAAGTAATTAAGTAACATACATGAGATTGTATAAGATCCAGTATAACCTTCTCCCAACAACTCGAGTTATTGAAACCAACTGATTTATGACACATTATATGATAATTCTCTATTATACGTATATATATTACGTATCACTAATTACATGTTTCACTTTCTATATCAAGCTCATGTCATATCTTAAATACCATGATATATTATTGCACGAAATACTAATAGACCTAGCTTATAAAATTATGAATAACTCTGAAATTTGTCATTATACTTAACTAGTGAGCGGTAAACTATGTTGTGGAGACGACGAAATGTAATAGAACAAACCATTTGCTCCATTAAAACAGTTGAACGATCTCAACCAAATAGTGGAAAACTACCGTGGAACCATTACCATTACCATTACTCAGAAAAAAGCTCAGAGTTAGTGATGAATGACGTTTTGGCTCTAATATTATTACTTATCACAAATACAATTTTCCCACAAAAACAAATAATTAAAACGAATCTCAAAAACAATATTTCTCTTGTCTCTTTTGACTATAAAAAAATATAAAGAATATCCACAATCCAGTCAAAGCGCCCACTACAACGTAGCGCCGGCCCATAAATATGTCATCCCTTGCGTCATCGCCTCTCGCCCATCTCTACGGACCGAAAACTATCCGAACCGAGATCCTTATACGGCCCAGGGGCCGATACCCCTTCATCCTCTTCCAATATCCGGTTCCTCACTCTCAGGTTCTTCTTCCAAGCCCTAAAACCCACAAACCCGACCGCTCCGCCCAGGACCAAGATCGACAGGCACAGGAACATGAGCCCGACCCATGCACCCGAACCCATATTTTTCTTCTTGCCGGCTTTCGAACCGTCCTCATCGTTTCTTATCTTAAAGTACCCGAACTTGCTCTGGTCCGTGACACCCAACATCGTCTGGATCGGGTAGTCCACCAGGTAACAGAATCCAGACGCGTTGTTGTACACCGCGCCCCAGCACGTGCAATTCCTCTCGCACGAGCCCTCGCATTCCCCGAGCGACGGGGTCATTACGTAGTCGGTCAGCTCCTTATTGAACGGAAGGTCGACCCCGAATCTCCTCAAGACTCGAAAACCATCTCGTTGACCGCAGAAGTTGCCCCTCGGTGCAGGCAGACACTGACCACCGGTCGGTCGACTCGAACGAGTCTCATCGGTTTCATCGAGACAGGAGCACGTGGGTCCTCCTGGACGACACAGCCCGTACGAACCGCACGGGTCGGGCAGGCCGCACCCATCCGGTACGGCCTGGTACTCGAGAACCCAGCTGGCTCCGTCCCAGTTGTAACCTTTCAGGTTCCCGTCCGGTTCGATCCGGACGATGTAGAACCCGCCACCGACCCGTCGACGAAAGCTGTTGAACGACTGAACGTCGACCGGGGTAGTCCCCGACCCGTTCTGGTACATCCCCAGAAACCCTTCCGGTTCGACCCGCAGGCGAATCGGACCTCGACCCGGAACCACGTCAGCCCGGGCCTCGAGCGCCTTGTGCTTCCAATAGATCCGATCGGGGACCCCACTTCCGTCGAAGTCGGCGTACATCGCCATGAAGTCGTCCCCCAGCCGCATGGCGTACCGCCCGCCGGCGGCCACCAAGGCGGTGGCGCTGGAGCTGAAGTTCTGCCCCTCCACGAGGGTGTTTCCGGGAAAGTCAAAGCTCTGCCAGACAACTACCTCCCTCGCCGAAACGGGGTCGTTTCGCTTCACCTGTAAGTTGGAATTGTTCAGCAGCACGACCGTATCGGTTGGATCGGTCCCCGTGGTGGACCAGATAACGCCCCGGCGGGAGTCGGAGAGGACGAGTCGGCCGCTGAAGGAGAGCCGGGTCCGGTCCGACCAGCTGGGCGAGGGCGGGGTCGGGTTGGCCTGCCAGATGGGTTGGAGGGAAGGGAGGTGGAGGACGGAGAGAGCGAGCTGGGACGAGTTGACTCGGAGGAAGCCGAGTGAGAAATTCCCCGTTGGGTCTTTGAGGATCGGCTGGAACGAGGATATTGATTGGTCGGGTGTGGCTTGGAAACCGGACCGGAGATCGGTTTGGCCGGAGGCGAGTGAGGCGAAGAGGGTGGCGATGGAAAAGAAGAGGGAAAGAAGGTGGTGAGCTGGTGGTGAGTGGGAGCGAGTCGGGGTTGAGTTGATCATGGCGAGTTTGTCCATTTTGGGGTAGAGAGGGATAGAGATCGAAGAAAATGGGTGATCGTGTAGAGTGGAGTTTTTAAAAAGAAACGAAGACATTGAAATTGGTTCCTGTAGATCTCATCTCGTGTGTTCAATAAAATAGTGTTTTGTTTTCTTGTTTCCTGGCCCTTTTGTTTAGTGACAAGCAAAGGTTAAGCTTATAATTAACACAAGGTTATGCAAACAACATGTACCATTTTGACAAGATTAAACAACTTAGTTTAAAGTTCTAGATGTCATTAGAAGTAACATGTCCTTAATGATTAAGTAAGGCATGATTTAGGGTAAAGTTTTCGGTACAAGTTCTTAAAATACAAAGCATTTCGTTAGTGTGTTCGATATTTTTGGCTCTCATTATCTCACATGCAATCTAGTTGGGATAGACATAGAACTATTCTAAATACCAATTCTCCCGTGTTGTATTCATATATGACGTCTGGATTGTTTTATTCCGTAATATGAGGTCTTACATATGGGTATCAATTTGCATGAAAGGGTTAGTAGGTACCTTCTGTAAGAAGTTAGAACTGTCCAATCTTGTACACATTTTATTCGTAGCATCATAACTAGCAATTCGTGAACATTGTGCGTATTTATATTACACCGTGAATTTTTGAAATTTGTATTTTTTTAATATCACGATCAAAGGACGAGTTAGATATGCAATTTGGAATTATAAATTGGAGTTTGGAAGCCAGAATGCGATTACAATAGGCATAAGAAAATATCTCTGATAATCTTATAAAAACCATTTCAATCATCAGTTCTGATTGTCCAAAGTCCAGAACCCATTTACAAAGTCAAACCATTTCAATCATCAACTACTACTGCCCAATTTGGTAATCGAGCATAGCTGTCTTCTCTTCTCTTCCCCACCTACAATCTGAGTGCTCTTATCTCTCTTTGTATATTCTGACTGTTTTTCAAATATACTTAGCTGCAGCAAGTTGCAGATTGGGAACATAATATTAAAATGGCAAGTGCACTGTTCTTGTCCCAGCTAGCTCGTGAGGGTAGGGGGAGAAAAGAGAAGAGTTGGATTTAATTTAGAGAGTGCGAATTTATTGATCAATCAGGTGGAGCAAGGGTTGACTTTTTTTTTTTTCCTATATAAAGATTTTACTGTTCTTTGAGTAATTAATGTGAATGAGGAAGGTTCAAATGGATCGCCATTGACACTAATGAGGGTTGTTCTAAAGGGCTGAAAGAGACCAGCTTCGGTATATTAACTTTCATCTTATCCTGAATTCAAAATACTTTTGAGCTGTCGATCTACCTCCATGGTATTCACTTCTGAAAAAAAATATTGTCGAGTGATTGAGCTAACTGATAGCTCAACAGTACCAGACATAGCAATAACGAACAAGTAGTTTGAATGGATTAGTTTAACTTAATTATCTCAATTTTAACAAACAATGGGTCAAATTGTCCTATCTGGCTTTGTAAAAATCAAATGGATCATTGCGATTGGAGTTGACAATTTGAATTGCTCCATATTAAGGCCAACAAAAATTATCTGAAGAAGAGACATATAATTCGAATAACTAATTCACCAAGAGAAAAAAATTTACAATCGCCTAAAAAAGGAGCAATTTGAATTGCCCTAACACAATCCCCGACCTCAATTATCTTATTTCTCAACTGCGACATTCGAAACACCTCTTAGAATTTTCTAAAGCAATATTGAAAATGAATAAAAACTTAAGAGAATCAAACATAACAAGCATGATACAACACATAGCGGTTGAACTGCTCGTTAAATATTGTAGGCCATCATAATCCAAATATGAGGAAAAAACTTGCAGATCTAAAAATACAACAATACCGAGTTAAAATAATACTGCATTAAACAAAATGTGCTTATCCCGCCAAATTTTGCCCTTACAAACCAACTTTTCTCTAATGATGTTCAAAATTTGTCCTTCAAACCAACTATTCTCTAATGATGTTCAAACTCAAATTATAATCGACATTTAATTTGGGTTGGTCAACCGTTCATAAGTACAGACCAACCTCCCCTCTCCTACTCTTATTAACTCGTCTTCTACATTCATAAATAGGTGGAGATGGGTAGGGTTACAAAGCAAGCACGGATATGGAGACCTACGGTGTGAACTCAATCGGATCGTAGTCGTAATGCATGCTTTCGCGACTCCGCAAGCCAACGGGAGTTGACTAAAATGGTGCACTTTTTCTTTAGTTTTTTATTTATTTTTTATTATCAATATCTCAACAAAAATAATTAGAGACGGCTATTATCCACCGATATGATTAATCGTCGGAACCCGATCGATAATTAAGGTAAAATCTAAAATGACAATGGGTATATCTGAGGCGGATATCTCAATATCCATACCTGATTTGTAGCAGGTCGAGACAAGGTCGGGTAATTTAACATAGGGCGTGGGTCGGATATATCGACCCATATAAGTATATATATATATATAGAAAATTTAAAAGAAAATCATTAGAAATATTATTATTTTTATTTGAAAACCAAGAAACAAACAATAATATGATAAATTTAATTAAGTTGTTTGAAAAATTGAGATTCTTACTTCTCACCTATTTTCAACTTCATTATAGAAAAAATATACGAGATACTAAAAGTAAAATTCTAAGTAATTTTCATAAAATTACATATAATTTAGGCACAAACAGATTGAGGAATAAGGTTGGTTAAGACAAGTCAGACCAAACAAGGTACCCATATCTGCTCCACCACCAAAACAGGCCAACCACATGTGGTAAACAACTTTGATCAAAATTGTCATCCCAACGCAAACTAAATCAATTACCATAATGTTTACAAAGGATGTAGCTGCAGCTTTCCTTAGCCGCATGAAAATAGAACAAATGGGTCATTTGGATGGATCAATTGAAAAATGAGACAATTCGGCCAATTGTCTCATTTTACAAAGCGAGTCATTTAAAACGAGTCAATTCGAATTATCTGCGCCATGACAGACCATTGTAATTGTCACGAGACAATTTAAAAGTTTCCAGAATTGCTTCGTTTAAAGAGAATGGATCAATTTGATCATATTATCTCAAAACAAAATAATTGGCTCAAATTGATTGGTTAAAAATTAAAATTCAAAAGCCTTGGTAATCATGCATGCATGGATAATTGGGCTTGCATTATCTCATAAAGTAGGGCCTAAACAGCAGCAAAGAAGGGGCCCATAAGTTGATGAGCGATTGCTACTCACATTTAGTGGGCAGCATTGGAAGATTGATTTGGGCTTATTTATGAACCATGATAGGTCATAGAAGCTGATGAAAATGCATGGACAGGAGAGAACACATGAGCCCATTGGCCATGATATCTTCATTTTGCCTTCAAGGCCCAACAAAGGAAGAAGAAATTGAAAAACAAAAATGTAATGTTGAGAGTGGGATTTGAACCCACGCCCTTTCGGACCAGAACCTTAATCTGGCGCCTTAGACCAACTCGGCCATCTCAACTTTTGTTATTAAAGTCCCTACAAAACTATTTGAACTTTATAGAGTCAAAAGCTACAGTACCACAATCAACTTTGAGATTTGGAGAAGATGATATGTAGAAGTTTGATATATCTAATAGGTTAATTTTACAGTACATTGTATGTGAGTCCAGTTGGGTACTCTCCCTATCACTTTCGATGGTCAAAAGATTGCTGAGTGATTACATATTCTTTGTGTATGAAGATGTCACGCTTATTATAATGTTAGAGAGAGAAATCGTTAATAGGTTGGACCTGATGTTGTTTGTGTATGCGACTCTTGAGATCTAAGCAAGATACCTTTCGGTACATCGAGGATGATTTGATTCAACGCCTGCAACGATGGAAGTCACAAGCTATATACATCCTTGGGTAGATCTTTTCAAGACTTTTTTTAACATATAAGTGATCATATCGACAATAAGTGTTATATATATAATAACGTATTGTGCAATTTTTTGTTACTCAAATTTTCTGCTAGACGAACATAATTTATGTTTGTTATCCTATTGAGTGGGTTGATCAAGCACAACAACTTTGAAGTCCCTATATATATATATATATATGAATCCCTCTAGTTTTAGACATGTTTTTTCCACATTATTACTAAAAACAAACCATGAGTTCCAATCGACCCCACTCCCTTTGACAAATTTGGTTACCACAACACATAATTACCTTTGCCTTTCTTTTACAAACCCATGATCAAAATCTCATCATGTGTGAAAGGAATGTAAATCGGCGAGTATTTTGAAGAATTGAAGTCAAAATTTTACACAATTCCAAGTCATCATTCATATCTCCACCACCTATATAAATAATAACTACTAATGATCGATCGTGGTCTGAAATTGTGTTGACTCTCATTATGAACCGCATGCAACAATCAGAATAAGTACACTTCCCTCATAATGATACTCACTCTAAAGATAGAACTAATTAAGCTATATCTCTCCAACGACAATGACCTAAAACTAACTTGTTTAATTCCTTCTGTGTTTTGTGCCTTTTCCTTCATTCATTCCTAACCACATGGGAATCTCATGGTTGTATCTTTCTCTAATTACTCCTTGCAATTAATGGACAAGACATGGATCAGTCACCGCCCTTTGGATTGGTGTCATGTATATATTCTTGTGGCCTTAGTATTATAGGTTTAACAGAACTTGTCGATTTAGTGACTTCTAAGGCTCTCTTTCGTCGATTGTTCGATTATTTGTTGACTATCGCGTCTGATTATTTGGATCTTTGTGATTAATTATCTATCTACAACTATTATCTATAACGGAAAAACAATGGTTACCTGCAAACGAAAGTGAGATGTTAAGGTTTTTATATGCCTACACACTAACACTGATTGCAAGATCCGAAGAGTTACTAGTGTTACGATACTATATTTTTCCAATCACCTTGTACTCTCCTGCTTATGTCAAGAAACCATATTCATTCATCAAATTTGTGAATTTCTTCTTGTTTAGGATTTGGCCCATCACTAGTTTCTGAGTTTTGATACTTTAAATCTCATTTATGGGCAGAGAGATGGATGATCCGGGAACGAATCTAAAATTTGAGTTCGAATGAGACAAATTTATGTATAGTTTGATTTGTATATAATTATATATCAATTTTCAAATGTAAGAAATTCTCGGTTTTTTAAAATTTTATAAAGAAGAAAGGAAGTAAAATTAAATGAAAACCATTCTAATTCTTACATTTCCTCTATTTTGAATTCCAGTTTACCATACAAGCCAATCCTTAGGCAACACGGATATATATGGATACTTTCCTTTTCCCCCTCATTCAAACTTCTTCCCTTCACATACTTTCTGTGAACGAAACGAATCGTTTTCCTTTCTCTTACTCTTACACCTTTACAAACAGAAACGAATAATTTAAAGGAAAATAGTTTAGTTTTGGTACTAAATGCAACTTTTCCCCACCCTTTCCCTTTTTTCTCTCTTTCGGCGACACGAAGAATCTCATGAAATGGTCAACTTTAAAATATACCCTTGCCGTGAACTCACGGGCGAGCTGAATGATCATTCAAAGCTAGCTGAGAAATGAGAACTCTCTACATATAAATATACATCTAAGAGAATGAGAGAATTGGTCTACACACTTTCAAGAGAAACCACATCCACCCGTACCTTGTTTTGATAAGTGTACATGCACGAGCCACCTAGCTATATTGAGCAGGTGTTTTTGTCCATATGAAAGTCGTTCACATTTTGGTTACGGTGGCGGTTTCAGTTTCGGATTATAGTCTTATTGGGTTTCCTAACGGATAAAAATTGATAAGCGTTTTAATGGTTTCGGTTTCGATTAAAACTCAAAATTGTCAAGAAATCGATAAATAATGATAAATATTAATGTATTCAAAAGTTCGGTTTCGGGTAATAATTGGCTAATTCGAGTTTTGGTTCTGATGAGCTTTGGTTCGGTTAGCCAAACGGAACCGACATCCGACCTACATTTGACTCGATTATATTAGAGTTTTTGAGTCGCTGACTAGTCTTATATCCAAACTCGAATTATCGGAAACCACTATTCGTACCTCGTAAGTAACACCATGCACGAAGCTCTTGTAATTTTGCACAAGTACATTGCACCAACAAATGTAATTTCTCCTTTCCCTTTCTCGTTAGTTTCACCGTCTCTTTTGTTTCCGTTTTGTTTCCTTGCTAGTGAATTGATGATGCATTATTCCGCTCCCACTGATGAGAAAGTCTTTGCCCTTGCCAGTAAAAAAGATAAGGGATCGTTTGTTTGGGGCTACGACAAAATTAGATTCTTTCTCACCATAGCTTTTCTCCATATCAAATGAAGAACGTGACGGGACGTCAGGAGGTGTCTTTTCAGTATGAAGAATTTGCATACACAAACAAACACAATCACTACTATCACAATTCACATATGTGTCCTCTCTACTTAAACTATGTGAAAACGACAAAAAAAATTAGAGGAAAAAAAAGGAATCTAGAAACTAGGAATATGAAGTATGCAATGGTCATATACCATGTCCATACGGTGAAAAACTAGTTGTTCCATATTACTCGATATCTCGAATGGTTGGAAAATGTTCAATTATGAATCATAGACCACTTGTTATCACACTCTTCGAACGAAAACCATCATATATGGGTTGAAATTTGCACATGTCCGAATACCAACTGCTTAACAAATGCGTCGTCGAAATCCGAACACAAGACCTCTTTGTCGCAGAAGGCTCTGATGTCCTGTCAAGAACTAGCTGTTCCCAATAACTTGATCGAGTTGTTGGGTGATGCTCAATTATAAATCATATATCACTTACCAACACATAAGAGTAGTTATAGACTAAATGTTCTCGGTAACTCAACTTGTTGGGACATATGCCCTTTTGGATAAAAAGTCCATGATTTTTTTGGCTTGAAGTAATTTGCATAGATCCATTAATAAACAAACTCTAATACCATGTCATTTATAAGCAAACCAGTCTCAATAACTCGAGTTGTTGAAAATGGATTATATATGAATCTTCTACAACTCCTTGCCATAGAAGAGATGTTGAGTAGTAATGGCAATTTGAACCCGCCCCGATGGTATTAAATCTGAACCGCGATTGAACGGGTATTACCCGACCCCAGTGGCGAACCCAGAATTGCCGGAGAGGTGTGTCGCCGATAAAATAATGTAATAATTAAAAAAATTAATTAAAAATTATTAAAAAATTAATAGAAATTAAATAGAAATTACTAGAAATTAATTCATAAAGTTCACAATGTCATGTTTACTAGAAATGTCTGTAAATACATTCATTGCTTATGTTGCGAAGCAAATCCTTTTCGATATACACAACTAAACTATGATTCATTAAATTCGTCACTCAACCGATTTCGAAGTTCATTCTTGATTATCTTCATAGCTGAAATCTTTCGCAGCTTTCAATTGCAATAGGTAAAGTCAACACCAACTTCCAAAAGCAAGTAAAACTAAAGGGTAAAAGCAAAGGGAGATGTGGTAGTGGCTCTCGGTAATTAGAAACTAAAACGGGTAAGGGTGAGTATTTTATTTTCAATAAAGGAAGGGTAAAGGGGTGGAAACGGTGAGTTTCAAAGGATGGGGTTAAGTTTATTTTTACCATTGTTGGGTTGTGGTAGGGATGACAACCAAACCCATGGTCGCGGGTACCCGACCTCCTCCGACCCAGTTAATACGGGAATCCCTGCATTGACTGGGTATGGGGTGAGTATGGATAAAACCCCCCAAAAAGGTTGATGGGTATGGGGCGGGTATGGTTTTTAACTCTCCAGCCCCATACCCATACCCAAACCCGCCCTACCAAGGATATTATGTTATATACATAAAATATAAGGAGTGTATGGTAACTTGTCAATCGAATGAAGAGTAATTAAAAGAAAAAATAAAATGTTAAACTGTAATTGATGGCAACCAAACCTTAATTTCATCCTCTTATGTATTAGTTCCATAATTTTGGGTGGGTAGTATCCGTATTTGTCACCATATTCTATTATTAATGGTGAGTAGTTGTTGGGGCGGTATTACCCATGGGTATCAGAAAACCACGGTTATGGGGATGAGTTTGTAAGACCTTTCACTGCATGGGTATGAGACGGGTATGAGTTTGAATATTTGGAAATGGGGATGAGGTTCGTTTAGGCAAACCCGCTCAATTGTCATCTCTAGGTTGTGGTGTTGGTTACTCTAAAACAAGCATACTTATTTGAATTTACTTATTATTGTGTATTACTCATTAAGATAAATAACTTTTATAACAAGAAAATCATTCTCGTATAATGAAGGTGTGTCGCTCACAATTATTTAAGGTGTGTCGGAAGTCCCGAATTAAAAAAATTTGTACCAAAAATATATAGGTACTTCACAAAATTTCCGGGCGAGGGTGTGTCGGACGACACACCCTGCCCTTTACTAGGTCCGCCACTGCCCGACCCACAGTAGTGTGGGGTGGAGCATGGGTATCTACGACCCGCACTACCCCGCACTGCCTTGTTCTTGGCCCATTTTATCTTGATTTCTAACGGTATTTATACATATTTCTCCTATTTTGACTTCTCTTCAACTACTTACAGTCGATCATTAAACTTGTTAGACTCAATTACCCTTCTATTATCACTATTTTTCATTCATAAAGTGTTTTCCCCTTCATTTTATAATAAAAAGTAAAATTCACGTATATTTTTTTTCAAATAACATGTAAGAATGGGTCGACCCGTCCCGCCCCGTACTCACATATGTTTTACCCACTCTGACCCACAGTAATGTGAACGGGACATGGATAGACCGCCGCGCCCCATTGCCATCACTTATGTTGATCAGGAACTACGAGGTATGGTTAATTGATATAATAAACGTTAAAAGGGCGGGAGATATTATTAATGGAGCA